TTAAAATATGAAGGGAGTAAAACCCTAGGAGGTTATAGCCAGGAAAAAAACAAAAATACCACCAATCCACCACCCCGTACCGACGTAGCCTATCCACGTACTGCGTGATTGGTTATCGCTAGATAGCCTATTGATATGGGGACCACCTATACATTTGTCGACAAATTTTGTACTAAAAATTTGACAGATGTAGTTATAGTACAATCGTAGTGTAATTACACTGTAACTTATATGTAATTACACTGTAACTTGCATGTAACTACAGTGTAACTTGTATATAAGTTTGCATGTAACTACAGTGTAACTTGTATATAAGTTTGATGTAATTTTGAATCTTTAGATCTATTACAAGATTTGTTTTGGTGAGGAAGAAAAATAAAATCACAGCACATACATGTGTAAGGATTTGTTTCCACAACCTCTATTGTACCGAAATAACATATTACGAAGAGATTTTTGAAAGTTACATACAAGTTACACTATAGTTACAGTGTAATTACACTACAATTGTACTGTAATTACATATGTCAAATTTTAGGAGAAAATTTATCGACAAATATATAGCAAAATCGATTGATATATACACACTATAATATAATTTTGAATTCACGTATTTATGGTTGAACTTTCTCTATGAGGCATTTATTAAGAATTTAATATTAAGAGATTCCGTGAATATGTGCGTGTGGCATGCAAGATATGATATATAAAAAAAACACAAGCAAGAAGGATTATATATATGAATATGAGATTAATTATCGATCAGTATATATGTACCTTTGGACGTACTTCCAGCGGCCAGGCATGATCCCTTGCAGGATGTCGTTCATCAACTTGTCGCAATCCTCCATTTGCAGGAACCTCTTGGCCTCGTTGTAGCAGCGAGGCAGCCTGCCGGCGAACAGCTCGATGACGACGTCGGAGAGGTGGCGGCCGACGGCGTCGACGCGCACCTCCTTGGCGTAGCAGCAGCGCCAGTCGAAGACCCGCAGCTTGGGCGCGCGCAGGCGGAAGTACGAGTACTCGGTGAAGCTGGCGCGGAAGAGCGTCTCCACGCAGAGCATCTCGTGGCTGGACGGCGGGTCGGGCTTGCCGCCGTCGTGGCAGGACACGCGCAGCGTGGTCAGCTCGTCGGCGAGGACGGCGATGGCGGCCGCCGTGCCGAGCGACACGACGCTGACGTCGGCGATGCGGAGGTGCTTGAGGCGCGGCATGGTGGCGGACGTGATCTCGATGCTGCCGGAGAGGGTGCAGCCGGAGATGTGCAGCTCCTCCAGCGACGGGAAGGCGGTGTCCTGGAGATAGCCTGGGTGGAGCACCATGAAGCTGTCCTTGAAGGTGAGCGACTTGAGCGCGCTGGCGCCGGGGCCATGGACGTGGGGCGGCCTCACCGAGTACCAGCACGATTCCATGGACAAGCAGGCGGTGGCAGCCGGCAGATGCAGGGACCACGGCCCGGCGTCGTCGTTGCGTAGGTTCTTTGGGCAGTTGAGGAACAGCCCCAGCGAGGAGGCGGCGGCGAGCGCGATGAACTCGTCGGCGTACCGGCACTCCATGGGCACGTCCTTGCGGTAGGCCAGACAGAGCCGCTTCACGGTGTCGCGGTCTGGCCCCGCGCAGCGCCGGCGAAGCGTGCGCGCCATGCTGTCGACGCGCTGCCTGCTCTGCGTGGACAAGGACGACCCCTGGGCCCCGAGCACCGACATGATGAACGACAAGGCGGGGAGCTTGGTGTGGAGGTGCTTCCACCGCCGCGACACCGCGGCGGTTCGCACGGCTTCCTTGTAGCGGACCATCGACAGGATGTGCAGCAGGATGTCGTCGGGCAGCTGGCTGATTAGGTCCTTGCCTTTCCTCCTCGCCATCGTCGTACGTACCTCGTCGATCGCCACGAATATTATACGGCAGGCACGCGGCAGAGCACTTGTATATAGACACACAACATCTTTGCGGACATGGACGGATAGTCGGTCTCCCTTTTGGACTTCGATCGCTACTGTAAAGACGTGTACCAAACGGGGATGTACGTGGTATGTACGTACGAATCCCAATTCACCTACCTTGCACACAAGTTATTGTAAGACATATATATTACTTAGATCAATCCAATAGAAATCATTGGCCTCACCGCCGTCCGAGCGGGTCGTCGAAAACCGTGTGGCCACAAGGACAATGACGGCAGGGCTTTCTTTTTCCCTGAGGTCACGGGGTCGGAGTACTAGATATGGGATGACAATGATCAAGGCACCGATAGCCGTGACAGTGCTAGGCCGGAGCCGGTGCCTCGAGGGGCTGGCTGCTGGCGGCAAGGTCTGATGAGGCAGCATCGACCGAGGCGACGATGACAAGGTGGTGTCGTTGAATCCGGTGTCCACTGCGAGATCCAGCCTCCTTTTGTTAGGATCTAGCCTTTTCGGCGCGGGCGACCGACTCATCCCCTGCGCGCACCCGAGCTGACAGCGACAATGAGGCAGCGGGGTGCAGCTATGTGAAGACGGCGTGGCTTCGATTGTGGGCACGACCATGCAGAGAGGTGATTGCGAAGCCAACCGGGTAAGCGGGCTATGTCCGGTCGCCGACGTCGAGAGGAAGGTGGTGGAGGTGGCGGCGGGGATAGAAGGAAGCTGGCGGTGTCGGCTGGGAGCAGAAGGCGTCCTCTCATGCTCCTGGCGGAAGGCTGGCTTAGCGTGGAGGCCTGCGGCTGGCGGCGGTAGGCTAGCGCGACACGAGGAGGCGTAGCTGGCGTTTGCGGAGACCGGCGTGGTTGGTGGAGATGGGACCATGGGAGGCTGGTGCTACGAGTGGGTGATGGAGCGAGAGGTCAGTACGGGCAATGGCATGGAGGCTGGCCCGAGTGACGGCGTGTGAGGCCGACGTAGTAATGACAGGGAAGCCAACACAGTGGACGTAGTTATTTCTTGTTGATTGTAGGATCAAATCAACCGGCACGCTAGCATACCCGAAGGCGAGTTTTGGACCTGCACTGGAGTTAAGCAGATCTCCCAGGCCTCGTGTTTTCTGTCAACATGTAGGGGAGGCTGGTGACGGCATGTGTGCCATGTTCCACGTCGAGGCTGGCTGGCATGGGGCGTTGGTAAAATGGTGTTCATGCACTGACGGAGGTTGGCTGGTAGTGGAGCAATGGAGCATTTAGCTATGGATCGACAAGGAGCAGGCGACAAGTAACGACGTTTCGGGTATCATTTTTCTTCTTGGAGGCTATGTCGAGCCATCCTTCTTTCTCTAGTAGGGTTGCCAAGTGAAACCCTGTCTTCAGGACCTTGATGGACGGCGGCATCGATGCTCATCATCGATTTTCTCCCTACAAACGTCGTCTAGGAGGCCACCTTGCCAAAATTCTTCCAAATAGCTTGTGTGTGCTCTTTTTATATGTCTGTCCTCTCGTGACAACGCCCTAGCTAATGCAAGCTGGCCATGTTAGGGGGGGGGCATGTGTGGGGTGTTCCATTTTTCTCTCACCCTCTCCCCCTCCAATACTGGATATAATTGAGTATAGTGCTCGGCTGATAAGGTTTGTTTTTGGGCAGTTCGGATCTTTGTTAGTCTAGAGGCGGCCGATCACGCTTACATGCGTCCGGTCCGGTACTAGCCTTCTCTTGGGTTTTATTTAGGTGTTTGTCCGTGCGTGGTGATCGATTTTTTTTCTTTCCTGACTACTGCTTTTCAGTGTGTTAGCCTTGTAATTCTTTTCCACTCTATTCAATGAATAATGACACATATAGTGTTGGTAGTTATAAAAAACTCCTATGGCTCTAGCCAGCCTCCCATTCCCATAGTACCCAGGCTACAATCTGATCTGCCCTGGCCGTCGTTGCGTCGATACACTCGCAGTGCAATCCTTAAGCTTCAGGAGGCTAAAACTATGGTATTATCACAAAACTATATATTTTATATATTTAATGTGAAGTAGTATTATAAAACTATAGTTTTAACATTAAATCTATATCCCAAAACTTTATATTTAGGGTGGCATTACAGATTTAATAGCAAAGTTTTCACAAAAATATAAATTTAGTGACAATTTAGTTATAGAACTCAAAAAACTAAAGTTTAGTGATAATTTAATCATAAAACTTGCACACACTGGTGGAGAAAGAGGCTTTACTCCCGGTTGGAAACCTCTTATAGTCTCATCTTTATTCCCGGGTGAAATAACCGGGACTAAAAATTCATCTTTAGTCCCGGTTGGTGTTACTAACCGGAACTAAAGATGGTGGGAGCAGTCCCGGTTGATCTTTTTTTTTCTCAAATTGATCTGCTTCCTAAATATTCCCAATCATATCCCCAAATCATCCACAAATCAAAGTAGCATCACAAATTGCTAAGAAATGCATCACAGATAACGAATACATCACATCACAAAATCTCAAACAAAAAATACATCACAAATCCTAAAAGAAATACATCACAACTCAAATACATCATAGATCAGATCCAATATCACATACATCACAGATCAAATCCAATGAATTATAAATTCAAAAAAAATCCAGCATAAGATTGTAGAGGGTAGGGCGCCACCGGCCTCCCGGCCCCGTCCTTCCGGCCTCCGCCGCGCCCGCCCGACCCCGCCCGACCAATTGATATTACCAACCAGGACTAAAGATCAAAAAATACCTCTCAACTTTTTAACCGGGACTAAAGATGCTTTTTAGTCCCGCCCGACCAATTGATATTACCAACCAGGACTAAAGATCAAAAAATACCTCTCAACTTTTTAACCGGGACTAAAGATGCTTTTTAGGACTAAAGATCAAAAAATACCTCTCAACTTTTTAACCGGGACTAAAGATGCTTTTTAGTCCCGGTTTTTATTAGAAAATGGACTATTGTGTAATTTGGCCGACCGACCAAAGATGATTTTTCCACCAGTAACGTATATAATACGTTTAGTCAGAAATTTAAGAAACTTAGCGTTGAATCGCTGTGATCGATAATTTGATGAAAGTATCGGTAGTTTTATAAAATTTACTCTAAAATTAGACGTAACAACAATATCCATTATAAAACTTCCTCCAGTACTCTAAAGAGATCACAATCCGACTAATTAACAACCTCGATAGATATATCACTGATATCTTGTCTGGCACACAGTACAGATTACATGCACACTGGCTGGCTTATTATTTATTGTAAGTAGATTGATTAGTGGAAACTGTTACGATAATTAGCAGCACAGAGAGACATGCGTGCATACTAGCTACTAGTAGTAGCTAGCAGGTGGGAGGTGCGGCGCCGGCGCCGCGGCGGTCGGACGAACGCCGGCGGTGGTTCCGGCGCCATGCTTATGGAGCCTGTGCTGGATGGCCTCCTCGCGGTGGAGGGCCTTGTCCTGGTGCAGCTCCATCTTGGCGGCGGCGACCCTGGCCTTAGCGCGCTCGTGCGCCAGCTCCCTCTCGGCGTGGGACCTCGCCGTCGCCACCTCCTTCTTCTCGTCGGCCTTGGCCTTGCTCACCTTCCCCTTCGCCTTCACCGCGCTCACCTTGTCCTTCACCTTCTCCTTCACCGCCTGCATCCTCGACCTTTCTTACTTTAATTATCAATCTGATGATCTTCTCCGATCGATCGATCCTCACCAAGCTAAGCTTGCAGTGCGTATGATGGGAAGTAAGGTTGCTCGAGTTGCATCCGATTATATATATGCTGCACTTGGACGACTTTGGTCGATGGACAAAGACGATCATCATGCATGAATGGCTGTTACGTGGACGCGATGCATGTACACCACGTCGATCGATCGGAACACCAGGACTGGACACACGTCCCCGCTAGTTGCGATCGAGATTCTTCTGGATGCACCACCTGTACAAAACGTACGGCATATGTTCTTCTCCGACCAACATGCTTTCTGCCGACTCCTGCTACTAAAAGCCACATCGTTTTCCCGGCCGCAGGACCTTGGTTTGGTCGGCGGCCTCCCTCTCCACCACCACTACGAAACCGGTCATTCGTAACGAATTAATTGTAGATCTTATCTATGTTGATGGATGATCTGCTCACTAATTAGTGATTACCGATATAGAGATTATCTGTGTTGATGGATATATTGCACGAAGTATGTCTAGTTTCGTGATAAACGGAGACGCTGAATTTGTAATTTTATAAAACAAGCTCGTCGGTCACACAACTGTGTGCGATCATGTGTGATGAATGGGAAACTTGAAAATTAGCAGGGCTAGTTAGCTCATTGAGTGTTGCCGCAGCACCAGCTTTAGAGAGATTATAGCCTTTGAAACTTGCTTAATGTTGTAAAGGCGGTGCTTTTGATGCACTACATTTGTGCCTCCTCCCGAGGAGGTTTGTACAGTTTTTCCCTTTTCCTTAATATACATCGGTCGGCATTCTTCACCATCCCAGCGAAAAAAACAAGCTTTTAAATTTATAGTTTTGTTATAAATAATGTAAAATACATGTAGTTTTTGTAAAATTTAATCTAGATTATACAGTTGTGGAAGGGTACGTTTTCTGCGCCATCGATCTTGTCCACTTGGCCTAATTAATAAACTGCTGGTAACTACTTCTTCCTCCCCCTGCTGCTGCTTGAGCAGAATGGAAGGAGGCCCTGGAACTTGTTCGCTCCCGTCACCTGCACCTTCAGATGCCTATTGTTTGGCCAAACGGCATATTCGTAAATGAGAAGTAATTTGTGAATAAAATTTTTATATACGTGTTCTTAACGACCTAAAAGCAAAGATTGAAAAACAAATTTTAATGAGAAAAACCTGAAAATTAGTTTTAAATCTAGTGTTAAAATTTTAAATTTTGTCTGATAAGTATAAATATAAACGAAAAGATAAGATAAGGCCATATGCTTCTTGTTCATCATCTGCAGCTTGGCATTGGCTGAGCTGGGCCGGATCCGATCAGAACTCGTCTTGGGACGGGCCAGATAGCAACCCGAGTTCGGCATGTGTGCGTAAGATAAGAAATTGAAAGGAAACCGACTGAACACTATTCAGACAAAAATAAATAAATAAAAACTAGTAGTATGTTTCATATACATATATCAGTAGGTTAAAAATTTACTCAACCAGTGAAAAGGCTCTTCACTAGTATATCACAATGTTCCTATTGAATTTGTGAAATTTTCTACATATGAAATGTACCCAACAAGAATCATAAGCTAGCACCCCCCATGCATCGCAAGGATCTTGCTACACTTCCTATTCATTGTTCAGACGAGAATCATCATCAACCAACTCTAAGGAAGAAGAAGCATATGTACAAAATCACCTGAAATGCCAATGCACACCGCCGGCGACCACAATGGCCGGGATACATACAACAACCAACAGACGAACGATTTGCCTGGTCAGAGTAAAATGGCAACACGAACAGCACAGAATCTTTCTAGAAACACATGCCGGAACTAGTCGGACGCTTTATTTATCACACACCAGCCTCCTAATTCTCCAGGCAGAGGGTCAGCAATATGCCTTCCCATCGCATCTCTCTGCTTACAATTTCCTTTAACAAGGTCTCCACGGCAATTGGCAAATGCCGGCATCGGAGGACTGAGGTAAACAGGAGGACCAACAGGATGTTGGTTAACCATCGTTGCTCGATGAATCATAAACGGTATCCATGATGCGATGAATGGTTGGAAGGTTCAGGCCAGGGAACCTATGAGGGGCATCAGGGTGGAACTCGATCTTGACAAATGGCCACTTCATTATCTGCGCAGCGGTGCATTCTTCGTGTCCGTCTCCGATTGCACAGAAACGGACGTTTGGGCCATCATAGCGCTCCTTGATCCATTTGAAGCACTGCAGTTTCCCGACTTCCCAGGAGCTGTAAACTGCAAAGCAGAAGCAGATTTTAAGTAAATTAATCTACATTTGTTTATGTGTAGAATTCATCTACTTCCTAGTATGACAACAGTAGCCAACTGCTACGGGATTTTCTGGACATGGTATACAAAGGCCATCAATCATTCAAGAACTATCAGCACGGCCAATTATCCCATTGCATATTTTCCATAAACACGCAACAGAAACAAAATGCTCAAAGGAACTTTTAGACATACCATTCTCGAATGCAACCACATCATCCAGACGATAGAGCAAACATTTGGCAAGACTTGGAATCAGGGACCCTGATGTAACTATGCAATTGATGCTTGAATGTTTGGCAGTGGACTCAGCTGTTGATTTACCCATTGCTTCTTCCAACAACTTATGAGCTGCATAACAAGAGAAAAGGCAATTGAGCACTGAAGCAACAAAACTGATTGTTGAATTTGGCTAAAGAAAGAACAGTTAAGACAATATAATCTTGTTCTCAAAAGTTCTAACGCATAGTACACAGAGAAAAACTTAAAAACTCCTGACTTTTCTTTCAGTGAACATGTATTCTGAGGTGGCAACCTACAGTGATTAAAAGCATACATCAAGCCAGTGTTTTGAAAAAAAGGTCTACAAGGCCACGTACAAGGCCGCATACAAGGAACGGATGCCCCAACCTTGTACAGCTTAAGCCGCATAAGCACCCGATTATACCACATAAGCATCTGATTATGCCACATAAGTGCTACAAAACCACACAAAACCACATATCGCTTTTTGAAACATTGTATCAAGCAGAAGGGACATTATTTTGGTACATGCATTGTTAAGTTGTTGCAGGTCCTCTTAGTTGTAAACTCTTATAGCTTTGGTGATAACAATTATATAGTCCATAAACAAAAATGCCAGCCCAAATTTAATCCCACTGGTTGAAAGTAGAAATATCAGAAGCATGTTCTTTCGGCATTGACAATTTGGAGTACCATCAATTATGCAACATAAGGCTCTAGAAGATTCTTTGTGGTTGTAAAACCCTTACAACTTTGTTGTCATACTTAGTTCATCAACAGAACTGAAGGCCAAAGTATTTTTTTCTGCCAACAAAAATCAGATAACTAGTCCTTTTTTTCTAAATATTAAAGGAAAATAAGTACGAGTTAGAATACCTGAAGAAAGCCAACCATCGGTGTATTTGTCGGTCGCGCTATACAGATCATTCCAGACTTTGATCATGTGGTGGTCCAGAATTTTTTCCAAACCCTGAGAAGAAACACCAAAGAAGTTCAATTACTCATTACAAACATGAAATTGACAAAATATTAGAAATTAGTACTGGCATGAAAAAGTTCTAAATAATAACAACGAAATGAAAACAGAAGAGCTCTACAAAATAGATAGCTGAAAAGTGAATATCTAATGATGATGCTCTATATAAAGTCCCAGCACAGCACTTATGACTTCTAAGGCCCTATTTCTTATTATTGTTCCTAAATAAAGTTTCGCTAAGATCAAAACCTCTGAACAAAATAGCCTGAACCAAAACATGAAGTCCCAGAGAATCACTGAGGAGGACAAGTCATTTCAAAGAACTGAATATCCACTATAATCCCCACATAACTCCCCACCCCTGTCGCCTTGATACAAATTAACCTACATACTTCCCAAGAACAAACCTCTTTCTTGCTGTGTGTGGCAACTCTATTACAAGTACAGACCAGTGCTCAGCGTAAAGCTCACAATGGAACATCCCGCAAAAAAAAGAAGAAGATAAAAGCAACATACTTCAGTTAGCACCCTGCTACGATTTATTCCTAGACGTCATAAAGAATCTATTCTATTTCTTAATATAAAGTCCAAGCATTATAGCAACTAACAATGATTGATCAAACACCAGAAAAGTGTGCTGATCCATACCAGACACAGACACTCCATGGTATCAAATCTTGAACAGTAACAATATTCTTACTAAATGGAATGAAGCATCACAGTTTCGCTAGAGAAGTGACCTGAGCACTGCACCACATCCATATTTAGAAGGTTCATTCTTAAAAGGTACATTCAAAATATGCCTGACAGAGGGCATGAACCTTAGGGCCTGTTTGGATGGGCCAATATGGAAGTGAATGAAAGTTATTCTAATCAGGTGGATGGCCAGGATCCCTCACCATCCTAGCCCCTGAAAAAAGGCCTAGAGAAAGCAATATGGGGTGGATGTAAGAGAAGGTAATTCCTGTGATACCTTTGTATACTTCTCTCCAATAGCACGGTGCCTGTAAGCAAGCTTCCTTTTATTCAGATCATCATAAGGCGAACTAAAGCAGTCAGCTTCAAAATCATATGTTGTCAAGTCTTTCCCATCATCATATTCTTTGACAGCACTGAGAAAGGGTTCATTGTAATTCTCAATCTGCATTTTGTGTGAGAACAAAAATGATCAGTTAACAAATATGACATAAAAAAGAGTGGTTTACCCATGCATTAAATGAAACATCAGACACTTAAGTGCAGAGCCCAGCTAGATGAATTATATGAAGCAAGATTTCACGTACAAATGGATTCCAAAAAGATAACTACACGACAAGTACAGTGACAAAAAGAAGATACTGGCATGGACAGTCCAATTTGTAGAAACACTTTATCATACGTTCTATCTATTTCTGGTACAGTTGTCGTATCTATCTATCCGTTATATTATTGAGAGCTCACTAAAAGGAGCTACCACGTTTGCTCTAAAGGCATATAAAGCACCACGTTGGCCGGCGGAAAAGAGAAAGATCTCCACCATCCATCATGGTGGGACCAAATTATAACGGCCTAGATTAATGGCTACAAACATTTAACAGATACGATTCTATTTCAAGTAGACCCGCGCAACTTTGCGCGGGAATTTCAACTTGTTTCTATTACTAAAAAGGAAATCAATCACATCTACCCAAGAATGTGCCTACAAATATATAGTAACATGGCAAGTAGCCAGCAGATAGTAGTGGAGTGGAGCTGACCTCCTCATAGAAGAAATGCTCGTCACAGAGTTCCAGAATGAGATTCTCCCACCTCTTCCCTATATCAACACTCTTATCATGGTCCTTGAGGCCATCAAAGGCACCAGCATACGAGCCATCCAGCAGCGACTTGAGCAGAATGAGGGTTTCATCCATGTCCCATATGTACACATTCATAATCTTAATCTCGTCCCTGGTGGCATCAGCCGAAGCGGCGACAACCCCATCCATTTCACTCCTGCTCTCATCAACAACAACAGCAGGATTGCATCATCACTGTTATCAACCCAATTTCATCGATAAACTAGTACCTAAAGCGCCTACGGTAAGGGGGCAGACCTAACAAAGCTGCTATGAACTGCTACAAGCACAGCACGACGCCCGAAAGAGATCAGGAAGACGCTGGATGGGTCAGCTCTAGGCAAAGAAACCAAACCCTAGTCCGGAATGGATCCCCAATCCATGCCACGCGGGCTCAATCCAAGGGGAGAAGAATTGAGTGGATACCTCAAAATTGGACGCGAACCGGAGACGGAGGTCGGGCGGGCGGGCGAGCGAGCGAGGAGGTCGCGCAGGGGAGGAGGGCAGAGGGCGGGTCCGGGAGGGAGAGGAGGCCGTCGACGGCGCCGGCTTGCTCGCCGGCGAGGCGGAAGGCGCTGCAGATCGGAAGCAGAAGAGAAGGGAGATGGAGACAGTAGAGGAGCACAAACACAGAAATAGATGGAGGGGAAGGGGGTATTTTGGTCATTCTCCAATTTCTCTTACCCTTTTCTTGTGAAACTGAATTTACCTACTGGTAGGCTGTGATCTTGAACAAAAAAATATATTGATTTGTGCCATTTGAAATAAGCTTTTGTTTTGTGTCTAGAACAGCAGATAAATAGTAGTAGGGTATTGAATGTACAATTTTTTTTGTGAGAAATTTGCTATATGATAAGGCTGAGTTTGACCCATCATAACCGTTTGTCGGAAAATGGGGGCTTTCCTAAAGTATTTCCTTGTATAGAAGGAATAGGAGAATCTATTTTTCCTTCTTTTTTTTGTTGCGATCATGTAGAAGACGTACGTACATCACGTGCATATACTACACACACCCTTAACACACGTTCCGCGTAACGCACTGTCGAGACATGTTGAATTCATTATTGTCGGTTACTTCCACCTGTTAAGTCTTAACACATGTTTGCGTAGAGCATTGTTGATGCACGTGAACTCATTAATTATCGGTTACTTGTGCCTCTATGTATGTTTCGAAAAAACAAAACTTTCACTTTTTGTGAGGGGCTAAACCTTGGGTAAGCACTATATTTGTTATTGCGGTCACTTCCCACCCCCCTCTCGGCACCCAAAATGTTATTATACGTTGAATGATTTAGAACAAATATTTCAAGTAAACCTTCATAGCAACAACCTTATATTAGACTTTTTTTTCCTTTTGACTCAACAACCTAATTTAAGTATTTGTATAAAAAAGATATTGAGAACCTTAAATACATTAGTTTTATATTTGTAGCAAAACTATCTTTGGTCAATTTTATGAGAGACATACAAAGATTTATTATGTATCGTTGATTCAATCTTGAAAAATGCAGTCCACCAATTCTGCCCTCGATCAGAACCTCGAAAAATCTTCTCTGTTGCAAGTTGCTCAGTGGCTTCTTTAAAACCCTCAACATCAGGTTTAACTGAAGGACGGCTAAATCCATATGAACCATATTTATCATCGACGCTTGTGTTCATCCAGCTGCATTGCCGGATCATTTGGGGCAAGTATTATTAGTAGGGTTGAACAATAAATAGCTGTGGTTGAAATTATTCGGGATAAAAAAAAATATGACTAAACTTCTGCAGATAGGTATGTAGCTTGGGGACTAAATTGCCCTCACAGAAAAAGAAGCAATATTTTTGAAAAAAGAATAAAAAGAAGACAAAAACCAGCTTAAACTGCAACTTTTCGTGCCATCTTTATTAACTGATAAAGAACAATCCAAATTCAGTGAGGTGGATAGATAGAAAAGAAGGGGAATGCTTGCGTGTTTCCCATATTCAGGAAGCTTGTTAGTATAACTCGAACTGCTTTACTTTAATCTTTGTCCTAAGCTAGGACAAACAAGAACAATGCGAAACCAAAGCGAGCATATCAAGACGAATACACATCACTTCTCTCTCTTTTTTTTCTTCCAGAGTACGTGATATACTTTATAATCATGTTTATTTACTTGTCCCAGAGGAACAAGTAGCCTAGCCTGGCTGTTTTCGGTTCCAGCTAAAGAATCCCTGAACTTTTAGTGTTCATCGGAAACTTTGGTGATCGTCGCCAAGCAGTTGTCCACAGGCCGGGGATGAGGCAGATATCTCACCCTGCACTTTGGATTTGCCCTCTTCAGCCTGCACACAGCAGACAACTTTCAGTTTTGAACTTTGAACAAAGCAATTTTATCCTTTTTGGAGTTGGTATTCTGAAAGGCATAACTTTCAGTTTTGATCCTGGAAGCTACAAGTAAACTGATAATGAAATGAAAAGAGTAGAAGAAATAAAGACTGAAAAGAAGAAGAGAGGTGCAGCAGTTAGTCTTTTATCTGTTCACAATTAATCATGTTCAGTTAACAGTAGTTTTTTTTGTCATAAATATGTTGAGAGGAGGTTTACTTGTAACCCAGGAGAAAATGATGGAGGAAGACAGAGATCTCCAGCTTTGCAAGATCATTTCCAGGGCACAGTCTTGCTCCCAGTCCAAATGGAAGGAATGTTCCGGCTTTCGGAGGGGGTCCCTGAAAGAACAAAAAAAATTACATCGACCATTGAAACACACTGAAAAAGGCAGAGAATCGATGGAGCTTAATCTAGTTTGATGAAGAAACAAAAACTGCAGAAGAATGGATTGAATTTAATTTACCTCCCATCTTGAAGGGTTGAACATTTTGGGGTCAGGATAAACTTGGTCATCCATGTGCACACTTCTGTACCACAGCTGAACCTTCCACCCCTTGGGGATAAGATAACCTGCTGGGTTCTTCTTGGTTAGTATAACATTCATTCATTCATTTTCATTTCATTTCAAGCACTAGTAGTAATCAGTCGATGTGGTTCACTAGAGAAACAACAACATCAATCAGAATTCAGATGATGATGATTCTGATATGTCTTTAAGGGATGGATTTTCAGCTATGTGAAAACGCACCGTTCACAAAGATGTCTCTTGTGGCCTGACGGAAGGACACGAAGGAGATGTTGACGCAGCGAAGTGTCTCGTCGACAACCTTCAGATTTCATCATCATTAGCGTGCAAATTAGTTATGCAGTAATTACTGTGGTAATTCGGCTGGAGCAGTAGTATATTCCACTGTGTTAAAAATCATTTGCATATATGGAAGTGGATTTTTGTCCCTCGAGTGGACATCCTCTCGTTTTGTGCATGGCGTTCAAAAAAGTTATCAAAAAATTTAAAAAACTTTGTCAAGGTAGATGAATATATGATATATCTTTTTACAAACATGCAAGTTAAAATTCGACATATACAATTCGAAACAAAAATAACAAATTTGACAATGAATTACGCGTTCTATCCATCAAATTTGTTATTTTTGTTTCTACTTGTATAAGTTGAATTTGAATATGTATGTTTATGAAGTAACATATCATATGTTGATATATCATACTAATTTTTTTAAAAAAGTTAATGACTTTTTAAATTTCATAAAAAAACAAGGAGATATCGCTTTAAGAAATGAATAGAGTTTCCCTATATATATTATTATATTATACCTGTGAGAGGAAGTGCATCTTCTTGAAGTCCCTGAGGGTTAATCCGTTCTGCGTTGCTGGAATGCTTCTCATGATCTCCTCTTGCTCAGCCTGAACTCAAAATCAAATCATGCAAAATTTCAAATAATGCAAAAGTTCAGATGATTGAAACCAAATTTGGAGTGACAGGAAAAAAAAAGAAGCAGAGTGAGGAGTGACCTTTGCTCTTGCGAAGATGTCGGGGTTCTCCTGGAGGAAGACGGTGGCCCACATGGTGATGTGGCCGGAGGACTCGTGGCCGGCGTTGAGGTACATGATGAGGACGTCGACGATCTCGTCGTCGGCGAGGCGGCGGCCGCGTTCGTCCTCGGCCTCGATGAGGCGGTCCATCATGTCCATGGCCCCGGAGCGTTTGAAGCCCTTGGCGGCGGCGGCCCTCCGGCCGTCGAGCACACCCTGCAGCACGGACACGAGCTTCCGGCGAGCCCTGAGCGCGCGGTAGTAGGCGAAGCCGGGGAGGTTGATGGCCATGGCGCGCATGCCGTAGTTGAGGTCGGTGTAGCTCCGCTCCAGGGCCTCCATGGTGGCGTCGTCGGCGCCGCTCATGAAGATCTGGACGATGATCTTGAAGGTCATGCGCCTGAGCTCGGTGAGGAACTCGACCTGGCCGGACTCCGGCGAGGACCAGCGGCGGAGGGAGGCGACGACGGTCTGGTCGATGAAGGAGAGGTAGGTGGTGAGGGCGTCGAAGCCGTTGATGGGGGCGGCGGTGAGCTTGCGGATGCGGCGGTGGTCGTCGTAGGACATGTTGACGAAGGATTTGGGGCCGATGAGGGTGACGGTGGCCTTGGGCCAGCCGGTGACGAAGCCCTCGTCGTCCATGAGCACCTGCTTGCACGCCTCCGGCGTCACCGCCAGGATCGTCGGGCTGCTGAACATGAACGTCCTGTACACCCCTGTCCGCCCAAACCTGTGCCATTCTTCCATGCTTACCATCAAATTCCCATTCTTCTTTTTGTTTCTCTTTTGATTACTATCAATGTGCTACAATATTTGCTACTCCCTCCGTTTCGAAATATTTGACGTCGTTGACTTTTTACACATGTTTGACCGTTCGTCTTATTTAAAAAATTTAAGTAATTATTAATTCTTTTCCTATCATTTGATTCATTGTTAAATATATTTTTATGTGGACATATAATTTTACATATCTCACAAAAGTTTTTGAATAAGACGAACGGTCAAACATATGCTAAAAAGTCAACAGTGTCAAATATTTTGAAACGGAGGGAGTACTACTTTGTGATCACAACGATCAGTGATCTTGTTTTCAGTGTCAACTCTTGTTTCAGTTGTCAGAAATTAGAGCAAACCTGCCATTCTTTGCATTCCCATGCTTCCAAATCACCATAAGTTTGCATATTTTTAGTTCCGATTTGATTGTGATTAATAGCATTTCTGTTTCATTCCATCACTTCATTCGCTATGAATGTACTATTACAACTTTATTTGTTATAACTTCTGAATTAAGCTGCTGATGTTCCAGTGATATCAGTCTCTTGTTTCAGTTGCCATAAATTAGAGCAACTTGAACACACACACACAAAAAGAAGTGATTTTTTTTAACAGATGAGTTCTTTGTTACTGAAACTAGTACTCTAGTATATATGCAGAAGAAATATACTGAGATAAGTGAATGAAGAGACAAAAGTCATTTTGCTGTGATGCAGACAATGGTACAGACATGACAAACATTTTTCCTATGCAAATCTGAAGAACTGATCTTGCAACAATCTTTCTACTTGTGCCTCATTTGTGTTATCTTTCTTGACAAAAAGGCAACACATTGTTGCATCTTTCAGAACAGAAGGCATTAATCTATGAACAACACGTGTAACCATCTTTTTAACAGCGATTAAGATAATCAGTGCATAAGACAAGCAATAAAAGGACACCAAATCAATCCGAGTGTGGGAGATTACGTTTGACTAAACGACAATCAGGGTGAAGCGCACATATACTAATTTGGAAAGCACTGGGTGCTTTGTTTTCACCTAGCTATATGATATTGATTCCCATGGCATATATAGCAGATTAAACAAAAGCTAATGCATGCCTAGTTATGCCCACCGAATTTGTCTTAACAGTAAATATATGCAACAAGAGATCAGCAAGCAGTGTATTAACTATTTAGCAAAGCACCGAAAGAGATTTTTGTCCTGAAACTTTGTTCGGCAAAATTGGAATATGTTGTTGCATATCTGGAGTGGTGGAAATCTGATGATGGACAGTGGGTGCCACAAAATTTTCATTTCGGTGTCAGCAACCTAATGACTGGCTAAAACTAGCTCGTACGTTTATCTGGCTGTGAATTCTCGTGAGCCTACCACATTAGCATCAATTGCTGTCAATTCTTGTACAAATAAAGCTGTGCCGACAATTCCTAATCTGAGCCAAAAATGCTTAGACATCACTCAGCAGAATAGTACATGGCATAAAGCCATCAAATATCCCATGGTTTGCTGTTTTTACAACAGGATGGGGTTTTCTAGGAGTAATAGCTATACTTATTAGCTAGTGATTTCTTTTCAGGAGTGTGTTTGGTCAATGATTCAGACATATCAACATGAATATTTAACAGGACCGTTTTGAAGGATATGAAGATATGCATGCAAGTTCATAAAGGTGAAAAATAAATAAAATAAAAGGCATAATATATTTTTATTGCTGCGAGAAAAACACATCGGTATGGGTTTTGACAACAGGCCAGGGCAGGGCAGCATATCAGGTATGATGATGAAAAGGTAGAAGAAGAGCATCCTAGTGCAAAAAGAAAAGAAAAGAAAAAGAAAAAGAAGTACCATGCCTTGATGCTAGGGTCTGATAGATGGATCATGCATTGCAACAACGCTATATCATACTAGCAGTAGTACCATTCAAAAGGGGAGCATCTTTTGATGTTTACATAAATTAAAAAGCAACCCATCCATGATCCGTCCATCCATCCACAATCTTATTGAAATCAAATGGAGTATGGATCCATATTAAGGGGCTGTTCAGATTATAACTAAAACAAACATTACCAAATTTTGGCATTGTCAAAATTTTTACAATTTGACAATATTACCAAGTTTTGACAGGATTTCTTATATATTTACCAAAGTTTTATAAAAAAAACTAAATAGATATACATTTTTAACAACTTTACCAATTAAAATATCATTAATCTGAACAACCCCTAAATTCCCGATCATAACAACATCTCGATGGGTTTCATTTCCAGGGTCAGCCAAACCAAACCAAACCCAACCAAATCTCTCTCTCACGCACACCACCAATTGAAATTCTGCGTTTATATATGTGGGATTCGATCCAAGTTGCGGCGATCAAAGAGATTCAAAGATCACACTTGCATCAAAAGATCACTCTGCAGATGTGTGTGTTCTCATTCTTTAATTTCTTGAGATGAATGAATAATTAAGATCACTTCTTTCTTTATGCATGTATACGTGCATATATGATGAAAAAGAGAGCAAAAAAAAAAAAAGAAGGATCGATCACCGGTGGGGCCCACAAGTCAGCATTGGTGTGGACCCCACCAGTGACACGTGGCAGGAGGAGGGGAGTATGTTAGTACTGACCGTCGGATGAAGGAGGCGATGAAGGCGTCGGGGTTGCCGGACTTGAAGGCGCGGAGGAACGCCCACATGCTGCCCACCATCGGCCACCCCATCTCCCCCGGCGGCAACCTCGACCTCCTCTCCGCCCCCAGCGCCGCCACGCGAACCCAGTCGTGCGCCCTCCGCACCACCGCGTCGACCAGCACCACGCCGGCCACCACCGCCGCCGCCAGCACCCACAGGTCCCCCGCCGCCCACGCCGCCGCCATGCCCATGCCCTCCATCACCATCGAGAACGATCTATCGATGAACCAACGCAACGCAACGAAGGAACGAAACGCACGCAGAGACGAGTGTCGCCAAATGCTAAGCTCCTCCCTCTCAATATATACCCTGGCGACTGCCCAATTCCCTCCTTTATTTATTTATTTCTCTAATTTTAATTTACGCGGAAAAAAATGCGTGCTTAGCTTTTTTTTTTTTCGAGAGGACAAAAAGGGCTTTACATAATTAATCAAGATGTTCTCGATTTAAAAAAAGAAACCGATAACTAGGTTGATGATGTTTGTGATGCATTATTTGGCGATTAATTAATTTGTTCTCGAACCCTCAACACTTAATTACTAGTAGTGAGTTTTGTATGTATAGTAGCTCGATCGATGGGATTATTCATCGTGAGCATGTCCAGAGATCCTTTGTACTTTCTTCTTTGGACTCTTGTGGTTTGGTTTCGATCCATCTAATTTATCGCCGGCTTTTCTTGTACCCTAGCTTAATAACAACACAGTCCATCAATTCCAGTGATCGAAATGCAAAACTGATTAACCATGGTTTTGCTCTCCATATGTATCTAGCTCAATTAATTTGTATGTAGCAACGACTCCATTTACATGGCCACACATGGATATATTACGTATCTCTTCTAGCTAGTAGTTGCACGGTCTATTTCATCCAACTCGTATCACGTTGAGTTTAATAAAGCTTCTAATATCTTTTAAAAATAATCATTCAGATTGTTCTTCTGTAAAAAAAAATCATAAAGCTATAAAAGAAAACATTTTAATTTTTACTTGCGTATAGACTGTACTGAATTTTTCATATTCTGGTAAAAAAAAAGATGAGCTATATGCTAATATATATATATATATATATATATCTGTGGTAGTCATCAGTTTTGTTCCTGATCGAGATGGTGGATGGTGGATCCTAAATGAATGAATGTTTGATTGACTAATTACTACCTCATGTGGATTGGTACTAAAGCTTTTACCATTTTGGCTGGCTTAATTAAGCAGCGCATGCATGCATTCGCCTAAATTTAGTAATGATTAAGGAGGACAACTGGTTAATTAGTTCCTTCTTCTTCCACATGTTACTATCCATGCAAGTACAGATAAGAATGAGGATAGGATCAATTGGCATGCGCATGCTATCTGTTCTGATTTTCTGGACCATCCAACCATTCTCCACTTGTTTAGTTAAAAGAAAAAGAAGAAGAATTCCCCAGTGAGAAGATAAGATCGATAAGATTAGTTAGTCAGTTTTAAGGAGTAAACCATGCATGCATCCCTAAGATAATGCTGTCCATTAGTAAAACATACTACCATTTTTTACATAATAGAGAAGGTATGTATTACAATCTGAAAAAAAAAAGAATTCTCCCTTTTTATTTTTTTTGCAGGACTTTACTAACTGTGACACCATACCAAACATGATCATCTCTGGTTGAAGCCTCTCCATTCTGAATTATGGAGATATTCGAGAAGATCAGTTCAGAGTTGAGAGAGAGAGAGAGAGAGAGGATGCAATTGCAACACGATAATAAAGCTACTACTACTAGTGCAGGCAGGATCTCTTTCTTTCTTTCTAGCCGGGTCCCCTTGAAATTTCTTTTTGAGAAACACACATATATATATATATAGTCCATAAAGCTAATCCTAGAAAAGATATGGGGTACACAGCCCACAGATTGCAGAGTGTGGTGATCACTGATCAGACGAGCGAGACTGACAGACTCTCGCACGGATCACAGGCAGTGTCAGAGATTCAGAGTGCAGAACACTGAAGATGAAAAGATGCTGTCCGTCTGTCTGCAACCCTGCATTCATCGTCAGACAGACATACTGTAGAAATTAGTACTAGTACTGATCGGGATCACCTGCAGCAGTGAGCAAAGCTCAACAAATTAACTGTTCATGTAACTGTAATCAGAGAGGAGGAGGAAGAAGAAAGCATTGGTAGGGTTGTGCCTTTGTCACTGTGGGGTTGCATTGGGGGGGGGGGGGGGGGGGGGACGGTGGTCAACACTAACAGATGTTACTGCTGCTGCTAGATGTTGCTATAAAGTCTGTCTGTCTGTTTGTCATCTGACTGTGTAGCTCAAAAGCCATGATCGAGGCCAACACAGATTCTCTAGCATACTGTGTACTATGTCATCGATCTCTATAGTCTCTACTAGTGTGTAGCGTACGTGTGCCATCGAATATATACTTCATCAAATTATTATTCATCAGGCAAGCTTCTTCAGGCAGGCAGGCACACAATTCAGATGCTTCTTTCTTTCAGACACTCCTAATCAAATTCATCAGCGATGCATATCCACACTCCTAACAAAGGCATGCAAGTGACCGTAATGTAACAGGGCTAAAAGCAGTAGCATGGTTCTTTTGACTTGAAAGGGAAATCGAATGAGAGGGAATCTAGCTGGATAAAGCTGCTGTTGATGTGCTGACAGTTTAGTGCTCCCATAGTCCCATACTCCTCTGCATCTTGCAGAAACTCCTGTGCATCTTGCAGAAACAAGCTGACCTGATCATGCACCATTGTAGCACAGCGAGCTACTCCTAGCTGATTGATCTCACTACTTTAAGCACTATTATATGATCAGGAATAAACACAACTTGGATCAAATTTAAGACAAAATTTTCCTAAAGTACAGTAAAAAATTAACTTAGCTTTTGCCTGAGCTCACCACTTGCTAGGGTTTTCGAGAGGGTGAGTGACACTACTAAAAATGATTTTTTTTCCTGATGTCACCTCCTATTTTTTCGCCGGTGATGAAAAAAAGAGAAACGTTAGTGAAAATACACCAAGAGCATCCAATTATGGACCAACTTGATTTTCATAGGCAAAGAGAGGGCAGCTTGTAAAAATAACCCTACTTTTATAGATATCCATCTTAATAGGACTATCAGCAAAAACATTGGAGGCCTTATCAGCCCGGGAGACACTCTCCTCCACTCATTCTCATCCATCCATCTCCTCTCCACTCGTTCTCCCTCTCCACTCTATCGCCCAACAGCTCCAAGAGGCGGCGGCCTCGGGACGTCAATGGTAACAGCAAGCAAGACTTTAGACAGTGACGACAGCGGAGGGGTCCGCCTCAGGACCACCAGATCCGGCGACGATGGACCTCGGGACCGTTAGATCTGGCATTGGTAGGTGTAACATCCCGGCCTAGGGCTTAATAGGATTAACAGAATACTCATATCAACAAGTTGCAACTTCTTTTCCGGAAGTCAATCTCCAAAGAACTCCAGGGTTAAGCGTGCTTGGCCTGGAGCAATTTAGGATGGGTGACCGACCGGTCTGTGAGGGCAGTCTATGACCTATGAAAATGGGTCGTTACAAAATGAGCCTGATGTAAGTGGGCCCGGCCTGGGAGAGGCGGGTCGTTACAAAATGGTATCAGAGCCGACTCTGGCCAAGAGAGGACGTTCCTGGCCTGGGGAGCAATTTGGGATGGGTGACGAGGCGGGTCGTTACAAAATGGTATCAGAGCCGACTCTCGCGGTTTCACGGGCGCGTGTGTCGCAGTTGCGCAGGCATGGTGCGCATGGCTGGTGTAGACCGGGAGTGGTTACACAGCATGGCACATGCGCTGGCACTGGACACATGGACGTGGCCAAGAGAGGACGTTCCTGGCCTGGGGGCGTTGATCTCTCTTAAGGGGGTGAGGGTGTAACATCCCGGCCTAGGGCTTAATAGGATTAATAGAATACTCATATCAACAAGTTGCAACTTCTTTTCCGGAAGCCAATCTCCAAAAAACTCTAGGGTTAAACGCGCTTGGCCTGGAGCAATTTGGGATGGGTGACGCGTGTGTCGCAGTTGCGCAGGCATGGTGCGCATGGCTGGTGTAGACCGGGAGTGGTTACACAGCATGGCACATGCGCTAACACTGGACACATGGACGTGGCCAAGAGAGGACGTTCCTGGCCTGTGGTTGATCGACGGGGGCGTCGATCTCTCTTAAGGGGGTAAGGGTGTAACATCCTGTTCTAGGGCTTAATAGTATTAATAGAATACTCATATCAACAAGTTGCAACTTCTTTTCCGGAAGCCAATCTCCAAAGAACTCCAGGGTTAAGCGCGCTTGGCCTGGAGCAATTTGGAATGGGTGACCGACCGGAAAATTCTTCCCGGGTGCACACGAGTGAGGACAAAGTGTGCAGAAAAGACATGTGTTAGTCTATGAGGGCAGTCTATGACCTATGAAAGCTGCCAGATGTAAGTGGACCCGGCCTGGGAGAGGCGGATCGTTACAGTAGGCCCCGATGGCAGATGGCTTGGCGACGAGTGCGAAGAGGAGGGTTGCGGCCTGGTGTGGCCTGGATCCGTCATAAGGAAGGCCGGATCCATTCACACCTTTGTCGGTGGAGCTCGACGATACAACCACCGTGATGGCGTTGCACGCGACAATGCCAATTTTGATGTTTTTGTTTGTTGATATTGAAATTGTTGATGTTTGCATGTTGTTGTAGTGGATTTGAATCTGGTCATGCTGTGGGAAATCGATTTTATTTTCTTTTTTGGCCAAACATCATCTATCCATCCGGATGACTTAAGGGTGCTGCCTATGGTGCTGCTTGAATTCACTGCCTTTCATCGCCGTCGCTTCCAATTTCTAGAGTTCTGGAGATTAAATCGGGGGAGGAATGTGGCCTAGATCCAATTTGCACCGGACCAACTTGGGTAACAAGCCCCTAGCTTAAGGGTAACCTTGTCTTTTTTATAAATTTTTATCTCTCCATTTAGTCAAAATAATAAAGTAATAGCTATGGTGTCTTTTATCAAATTACTAGTTTTTGAAATGTATTCGAGCCGTGTCATGTTTTTTTAAGATGTACTCTAACAACAATATCCACAAACTTTGAGTGTCATGTAATAGCAAATGTTTCCTAAATTTAATAAAAAAAGATTTGGAGGGTGAGACATCCCTCTAAATATTTTTTAAGAAGAAATTGTGAGTATGTTGGATATTGAACACGAGATTTCAGGGTTAAAACTACACACTCTTTTGCTAATTACTGCTACACTATTAAATGCATCTCTAAGCTAATTTAGTCATAATGTATGCTTCTAAGACCTAACGAATCACAAACATGACACATGGATAGCTTAATTAGCTAGTCCATATATATATATGTATATATGTATATATATATATATATGTATATATGTATATATATATGTATATATATGTATATATGTATATGTATATATGTATATATGTATATACTCCCTCCGTTTCAAAATATTTGACGCCGTTGACTTTTTAGCACATGTTTGACCGTTCGTCTTATTCAAAAAATTTAAGTAATTATTAATTCTTTTCCTATCATTTGATTCATTGTTAAATATATTTTTATGTAGGCATATAATTTTACATATTTCATAAAAGTTTTTGAATAAGACGAACGGTCAAACATGTGCTAAAAAGTCAACGGTGTCAAACATTTCGAAACAGAGGGAGTATATGTATATGTATATATATGTATATATATATATATGTATATGTATGTATATGTATATGTATGTATATGTATATATGTATATGTATGTATATGTATATATACATATACATATATACATATATACATATATGTATATATACATATATAGATATATGTATATATACATATATAGATACATATACATATATAGATATATGTATGTATACGTATATACATATATACATATATGTATATATAGATATATGTATATATATGTATGTACATATATATACGTATACATATATATATATGTACGTATACATATATATACGTATACGTATACATATATGTACGTATATCTATATATACGTATATATACGTATATATACGTATATATACGTATATATACGTATATATACGTATATATATATATACGTATATATACGTATATATACATATATATACGTATATATATATATATACGTATATATATATATATATGTGTGTGCGCGCGCGCGCGCGCGCGCATGTGGGATGCAATGCAAGCAAAAATCTGAGAGGTGGTGGTGAGTGCTGTGTACATGTCCAGGGGAGCAGAGCACCCTGAAGACCAGCTCTGATCTGAGTGGTGGTCAAGATAAAAATCGATATGGCCTGCGTGCATGCATGTCTTGCGGCCAAGGCTGCATATATGCGTGTTGCATATATGGCCACTAAACATGGAATGCACTGAGTTGAGAAGTTGAGGTTGAGGCAGCACGACATACATCTTATCTATATCTACTGCTTCCTCCATTTCATATATATTACTCCCTTCGTCCCGTTTTGTTTGACGTTGCAGTTCATTTTAAAAGGAGTCTAAATGTTTGACGCTGCAGTACAATCAGAAAAACCGTTTCCATCTTTACCCCTCTGTTCGACGGCGACAGTCACCTTCCTCGCCGGAGACGGCGCGGAGAAGCAGGGGATGGCGGCAGCGGGCGCGGGACGACTTCGGGAGCGCCGCCAGCGACGACGCCAGCGTGAAGAGCGGCAGCTGCGAGATGAGCCGCTCCATCTCCGCCGCGTGCTCCGCCAACGCGGGACGCACCACGACGGGAAGCACCGGCGCAGCAGAGGAAGACGCCGACAACACGGCGGAGAAGGCCGACGAGCCCCGGGCGGCGGCGTGGCGGCACATGTGGCAGATGAAGTAGTGGATGGAGACGGACGCCACCATCTCGTCCCATGTCCTCCACCTCCGTCGTCGGCCACCATCGGCACCCTCCTCTCCGGCGACGGCGGCGGAATCACAGCCGAAGACGACATCAATTCCTCCGGTTCTTGAATCTCCTCCTCTCTCGCTGCGTTCTTGCGTTCTTGGTGGTGAAGAGGAAGGTGAGCTAGCTTAGCTGCTGCACTTGTCTGTGGCTTATAAATAAGGTTTTTGGCATGATTCATTCAGCACACAGTGGATGCCATTTCTCATCTTTGCTGTTGTCAGGGACAGGGAGGAACTGAGAAGTTCAGAAATGAAAAAGGGAAATGTAGGTTGGTTGTGAGATGATGAGTTCTTCAGACCTTTGTTTGCCTGAGAATGGTAGTTGTCTGCTTTGATGAAGCTGCAACCTAAGGTTTCAGCAAGGAGTGCTACTACTGTCCTGCGAATTCACAGTGAAATGCTGAATTCATAAGAACTGTCATAAATTCTGCTAAGAGGACAAAAAAAAAAACTGAAGTAAATTCAAGATTTAAAAATGAACAGTACTATTACAAAATCTAAATGTAGGTCTGAAAGTCACATCCTAATTGCTCTTGGATTCTTCCTCTCACAAAATCTGAATTTCAACATGCACAAAATCTGACCATATTGTCACTTTTCAGGCCTATTATCACCTCACAAAATCTGACCATATTGTCACTTTTCAGTCCTATTATCACCTCACAGCAATGATGCAAAAAATATTGCTCTACTAGGAGATGAAGCCAGGAAGGTTCAAGCAGCCCAGCGGCAAACAGGGTTTCTACTGAAGGATTAATTCAGATTTTGTAAATAAAATGAAACTCAAGAACTGAGTACACTCAGTAGATACTCTTCCAGTTGAACTGCAACTGAACAAGTCTGAAGACACTGTCAGCCTTTCTTTGTCTGTCCGAGCATATCTGCCCACTGAAAATTACTGAGCCAAATTCAATATAAGATGATCTTTGTCTGTCTGAGCATTATATAACTCACCTATTTGCATAGCTCAGGAGTTACTGTCCTGTTGTATTAGATGATGAATGCACTTCTTCTGGCAGATGATGGTCTGAATCTTCTTTTCCCAGAAGATTGGACGTTGAAATTTGATAAACTAGTGTACTGCTGCAAAAGAGAGTTTTTCTGAGTGGGCAATGAAGGGAGTAAATCATCAGAACTGCTATGAAATTTCAGCCGAAAAACTGGCAATCCAAGAGCAGCTCTGAAAATACTGTAAAAACACAAACTTTTAAAGTTTAAAATCTGAATACTGTAAACACAACTGATTCATTCTTCTTTATTCATCTTTAGAAAAGGAGATTTGAATGTTCTACTGCTCACCTGCCCGGCCGAGTCAATCTATAGCTATTTCTTGCACAGGATAAGCACAATTTGGCAGATGCAGCAGCTGCAGCGTGCCTGAACCTGAGAAATGATAAGGTTTTACAGTGTTCATAGATCAGTGGCAAATGGCAAATGGCTCGGGTGATCGATCGATGCCGTTGTAGGTGAAAAGGAGGGCATGAGATCTTACTATGAGTGTTGTAAAATTTTGTCCAAAGATTCTACTGGGTCTCAGGCCTGGGGTGCCCAATTATGAGTAGCGGCGTCGGGAGAGAGCGCCGGCGGCTCCGGCAAAGAGGGGTGGCGGCGACGGTTCCAGCGAGTACGGGTGGCGGCGGCATCTTGGAGGTGAGCCCCGGCGGCTGGCGTAGCGGCCGGCGTTTCCGGCGTTGGGGGTGGCGGCGTTTCCGCCTCTTTCTTCTGTCGCAGGCTCGCGGTGGCGACTCACGCGTTGAGAGGAGAAGGCCCAGGGCAAATATGTAATTTCACACGTTCCTTAATTTTCACGATCTGGTCGGAAACGTCAAATATAACGGGACGGAGGGAGTATAAGATTTGTCCTGTCTAGGTTCATTAACATCTATATAAATGTGAGCAATGGTAGAATGCCTTCTAATATTAAACGGAGGGAGTAATATATATATTTGTGCTTTGGATCAGATCGATCGCAACAGAGAAGGAACATGCATGAATGGATGCACATATGTATATATCGATCGAATCATGGAAAGAGATGGAGGCCGGCCGGCGCGTGACTGCATTTGCATTTGCATATCATCGTCTCCATGCATCGAGATCAGACTAGCTACAGGGATGTGATAAAGCTAGCAATTCAATCTGTGATCGTTCATATGCAATATATATAACGCTTAATATATTAATCACCACTGGTTCATGATAGATAATATGAACCGTGCGTGTGTGGCAACAGCGGGAGACATAGGTACATCGTTCATGCATGTGCTGCTCGATGTAGCTCCATCGGCCAGAGATGCATGCATCACCCAGAGGAGGCATCTGCAGTACGCGTCATAATCGTATCATCTCTATCATATCAGCGATATATATATATTTATGACCAGTCAACAACAGCAACATGATCTAATTAACAACAATCTAGGTCGATGGGTTAATAAAGTGTGCTAATTAATTAATTAGCAATCACTTTAACTAATAATATGCATATGAATGAGAAGGATGGGTCCTTGCATTGCATGATCTATCGATCATGGAGAGGGTCGTGATCAGATGGGACACGATCGATCGCGAAGCAAAAGAAAAAAAAATCTAGCTAGATTTATATCTTTAGATGATCGATCGATCGATCGATCAATGGGATCAGTGGCGACCAATGCAGGGGTAGCTTGCTTAATCGACTCCACCATGCATGCATATTGGCCTCTGGAGACATTATATGCATGTGCATCAATCGATTGATTAATTGTTGCTTTTCTCTTCCTTCCTTCAATTCGTCCTTTCTTCCTTTCTTTCTCTCTCGCGCATGATCGCGAAACGCACGCACATCGACCCTTCCTTCTCCGTCGCCGTCGCCGCTGCCGGCCGCCGTCTTAATCGCTTGGCCTGATTAATTAGCTAGCTAGCTAGCTGCCTGCCTGCTGTTCTACTACGTTGATCTCCTAGCCTATCGATCGAGAAGACCGGCCGGCCGGCTGCTTGCAGTTGCAGCTTGTTGCCGACATAAATTTAAAACTTTTAACTAAATTATAATTTATGTATTGTTTCTAAAAAATAATGGTAATCACTGTCATTAGCGTTAAGATAATAGCATGAGCTTGTGGCAGCCGCGCGCGCGACATGCGCTTCCCGACGCGCACGTGCGAACTAATGGATGAGAGTCTCTCCTCATGAAACAATGTGTGAGTGGGCTTTGAAAGGACTTCTCATGGACCGCTTTCCATTTTATGTACCACATATATAGCCCGGAAAATATGCAGTATGCAAATCACATATGTAGTGGAAATTTAAAAACTACAGTTGGATTGAGAAATGGACGTCCGAGATTCGTCCACGTCACCATGAGTTAAAATTTCCACAAAGTCACCCTTACTTGTTGCAAGTAATCATGCTCTGTTTGGTAAATAGGATGTGGATTTATATGAGGTGAAAAGGATGAATGCCTAGAATTAAATCTTATTCTTTAGTGGATGGGATATTGTTTTTTCAAACCCATTTGACAAACAGGCCCCGAGTCGTTATGCAACAACGAACAGATCACCGCTGCTTATAAGGCCGGTAACTGTAGTCTGAACTCTAAAGGTGGTATACGAATTAATGGGCCTGGAAATACTGGCCCAACAAATCTACCCCTGTCTCTATTAGAAGTATGCATACCCATCGGGTTCTCTTGCCCCATACCCACACCCACCATATCTAAATACTCCCACTTAAATACCCACACCCATCGCGGGTACAAAATTGTCCCCATACCCACACCCGTGCGGGTAACGGGTATCCAACGGGTACCCATACCCATATAATTGACTTGTAGTATTTATAGTTTTGTACTGCAATTAGCCATATTAGAGTTGTAAACCATCAATATTTTCTCTAGCAACAATGCTATTAATATTAGTGTTCAAAGGCGAGTAAATAAAATTATACAATCACATTACATAATCAAGAAATCAAATAATAATTTTATATAATTAGACTAAGCAATGCTTTAAGATGTGAAAGGAGTTTTATGCTATGATTTAGTAGTCGTCGAGAGTTATATTGCTCATAGTTTTAAGCTCAATGAATGGGTTTTTTCTACCCACGGGTTGGTGGGTATGGGTGGGTAAAGAACGGACCCATACCCACGTACCCAATGGGTAAGAGTTTTCGCCCGTTAGTAGACCCATGGGTATAAGAGTTAGAACACGATTAGCTCCTAATAGAGTAAAAACCCGTCGGGTCTCGGGTTATGGGTACCCATTGCCATCTCTAATTAGAAGAGAGGAGGTATTTTGCAGTGAACATATGGAACAGCCACATCAAACTTCATCAGTAACAACAGCTTGCATTATAAGTAACTAGCATGGTAGCCCGCGCAGATTGCGCAGCTAGCATCATTATATTTTCTCTCATATAATAGCATATATGTTTTCTCATTATATTATTCAAATATATTAAAATGACAACATAATTTTAAATTTTACAATAACTTTACAAAACTACTAATGTGTAATATTCATATTATATTTTATATATGTGTTAGTTATTAATTATTTTTAATATCAAATTATAGTTATTTTTAAATTATATATATTCCTATATGGACTCTAGACTCATATTTTAATATTTCTTTTTTAATTCCGAATTTTCTATAAATTGTATTTCTATATAGACTCTATGCTCTTCTTCCAATATTATTTATTTTTATTTCTGAATTTTCATATTATATTTTATACACGTGTTAGTTATGAATTACTTTTAATATCAAATTTTAGTTATTTGTAAATTATATATATTCCTATATGGACTCTAGACTCGTCTTTTAATATTTATTTTTTTTAATTCCAAATTTTCTGTAAATTGTATTTCTATATAGACTCTATGCTCTTCTTCCAATATTATTTATTTTTATTTCTGAATTTTTATTATTTCTAATTGTATTCTATGTGGACTCTAAACTCATCTTTCAATATTCTTTAATTTTTAATTTCGAATTTCAGTTACTTCTAAATTCTTCTTCCCATGTTTTTCTTAATTTCGAATTTTAGTTATTTGTAAATTGTATTTTTATACGGACTCTAAAATCTACTTTTAATTTTATTATGTTTATTCTAAATTTTAGTTAGTTTTAAATTTCTATATGGACTCTGTACTCTACTTCTAATATTCCTTATTTTTTAATTCCGAATTTCTATTTTTTTTCTTAATTGTATTTCTATATGGACTCTATACTCTACTTCTAATATTCCTTATTTTTAATTCCGAATTTCAGTTATTTCCTAATTGTATTTCTATATGGACTCTAGTCTCCTCTTCTAATATTTCTTATTTTTAATTTCGAATTTTAGTTATTTCCTAATTGTATTCCTATATAGACTCTAGTCTCCTCTTCTAATATTCCTTATTTTTTAATTCCGAATTTCAGCTATTTTTAAATTGTATTTCTATATGGACTCTAGTTATTTCCTAATTGTATTTCTATATGGACTCTATACTCTACTTCTAATATTCCTTATTTTTAATTCCGAATTTTAGTTATTTTATAATTGTATTTCTATATGGACTCTAGTCTTCTCTTCTAATATTCCTTAATTTTTAATTCCGAATTTCAGCTATTTCCTGATTGTATTTTTATATGGACTCTAGTCTTCTCTTCTAATATTGCTTATTTTTTAATTCCGAATTTCAGCTATTTCTAAATTGTATTTTTATATGGACTCTAGTCTTCTCTTCTAATATTCCTTATTTTTTAATTCCGAATTTCAGCTATTTCTAAATTGTATTTCTATATGGACTCTGCTTTTTCTTTTTTTTCCGATTAATGTGAGAATTTCTAGGCCATAAGAGTGAACGTAGAGGCTCCTTTTTCTATTCATATTTTTAATTCCGAATTTTAGTTATTTTATAATTGTATTTCTATATGGACTCTAGTCTTCTCTTCTAATATTCCTTAATTTTTAATTCCGAATTTCAGCTATTTCCTGATTGTATTTTTATATGGACTCTAGTCTTCTCTTCTAATATTGCTTATTTTTTAATTCCGAATTTCAGCTATTTCTAAATTGTATTTTTATATGGACTCTAGTCTTCTCTTCTAATATTCCTTATTTTTTAATTCCGAATTTCAGCTATTTCTAAATTGTATTTCTATATGGACTCTGCTTTTTCTTTTTTTTCCGATTAATGTGAGAATTTCTAGGCCATAAGAGTGAACGTAGAGGCTCCTTTTTCTATTCCTTTAATAATATAATAGATGCGAACGTAGAGGCTCCTTTTTCTATTCCTTTAATAATATAATAGATGATCAAGATATGATGTATGGTTTTACATCTTCAGCTTCTGCCATAACACACACAATCATAAATTTATTAAAAGAAAAACATAAGGTGATGGGATAAATTCCCCACTCTCTTTTATTATTAACTAACGTTAAATCACACAGATTTTTTAGCCAACAATAATAATGAATCTCGAAGCTGCAATCAACAAACCAAACAAGCCAACATGCAGTATCTTCACAGGTCACACTAGACTATTGAACCGAAACAGTCAACTAGCACAACACACCATCACCATATATACTAGTAGTAACTCAAGACATCACAAGTTTTTTGTTCTCTCTCTTTCTGAAATTCTGCACCAGCCTCTAGGTACTCCACAGTCCACCACACACACGCAGAGAGATCATGTCACTTTCATTTCTACTGTCAGTTTCTTGCTTCTTCTTTAGTCCCAAAGCAACCTGACAATCACAAACGCAGAAATTAGTCATGGTAAATTAGCAAGATAAATGTAGTGTGTGCTTGTTTGGTTTGTTGATGTAATGAACTAATGACAATCAAATGGTAAATTAGTCATGGATAAATGTATTGTAACCTGAAACTTGCTAATGGAGGTTAGTTGCTCACCGCAGAAAAAGTCAAAGAACCAACGTTTCAATGGATTCATTTGTGCTCTGCTCAAACCACTAGCTTGCTGGCCACCATGAATTTTCTACACAAAAAACAGAGCAAAACCTCAAAGTTCTTGCTTTTTATGCAGATACAAATATTACTTCTACTAGAGATTTCAAACTGAGAGAAATATGGGTGTTACCTGATTGTTCAACTGAGCAAAAATGGCCTTAACGTCTTCGAAAACTTCATCTACCTGTCGGTTACCATCAACCTGAAAAGGCACATCCATAGTTCAGGGCACAAAAACAAGTAAAACTTAGTACTAGCAAAAAATGGAATACAGCAGCTATATTTATTATTTTTTATTACTCCTATTTTATCATTATTAAACTATAACTTTATCACGTTGTGTTGTTCATAAATTCAAAGAGAATACCTTTCTGAGTTTCCCCCTTTTCTCATAGTACTGAATAACTGGAAGAGTTTGCTGCTGAAAAACATCAAAGCGTCTCCTAATAGTGTCGATGTTGTCATCATCTCTTCCCTGCATATTGCAAAATTCAGAGTCCCAGATCAACCAAATGAAACAACATGCTGAGCCTAAGAAATCACAAGCAAGTAAAATGCCTGGTTTCGGTTCAAAATGCGCCGCTCCATCTCTTCCTTTGAGCAGTCAATGAACAGCAGGAACTCTGGCTCAATGTGGATCTGCCACGAGAGCAATACTCATTTTAAAAACACACGACAAAAAGATCGTGATACTGTCCCCTTTAGAACTACTAGTGCCTTTCGGTTTATGTATTAATATTGCTGCACTTTTTAACACAAAAATGACCTAAAGGTAAGACATTCAGACCAACAGTCTTACAATATTTTCATACGCATGTCGATTTTCTTCATTTCGTGGAAATCCATCAACAAGGAACTTATCATTCCCACTTTCTCGCATGGCCTTAAATAGTAGCTTAACGATGAGATCAGATGACACAAGCTTCCCTTCATTCATGAGATTCTTGATCATTGTACTGATCGAAACAGTCATATGACACATAGATATCAGCGACACAATCAGATCAGCAGCAGTTGGAACAATAAAAACAGCTACCAGAAACCAGGACTGGACTAGTTAAGCAGTTGTTAATTACCCTTGTTCAGTATCATATTTTGCTTCTTCACGAAGGAGATCACCAGCACTCAGATGTGTAAAGCCAAACTGCTTAACAATTTTGGCACATTGAGTGCCTTTGCCACTGCCAGGGCCACCTGCAAATTAAATGATTCAGCAAAAGCTCAATGGAGTATGAAGTCACATAGTACTAGGAAAAGCTGAAGCTTGTAGTAGTGTGAGCACTACTTATTCAGCACAGTGGGTTAGTTTAAAAACAGATAGGCATACCTATGACGAACACGATTGTTATCTTTTTCCCAGGAGGTGGAAATGACTCAATGTGATTCTGCATCAGCAGCCAGTAAATAGCAAGTGGTGAATATATACTTGACTTGACAAATACGTATGGTTGGACAGAGCAAGTGGACAAGAAAGATGAACAAAAGCTGCAACCATAAGTGACCTTAAATTTCTTTTGGAAAAATATATGAAAAGGAGTTCTTTAAAAAAAATATATATTCTAGATTTTGGTATGACCAATAATAGGTCATAACGTTGAAGTATGCATGTTTCTTCACATGTAAATCTGCCAATATTCTTCAAATTTTCACTAACTAAATTTGGACTGTAGACAAGAAAACAGGTAATATTTCCCCTCATACAAACAAAGTATTAGAGAGTTACCTTGTTTGCGTGTGCCATCTATACCTTTGAAATGATGAGCCGGCGTTCAAGCTGAACAAGCCCTGAAAGGCTGAAACACAAAATTAATGAAGCAAGCACAGAGAGAGAGAGAGAGAGAGAGAGAGAGAGCCTCACATGTCACACTGCCCAAGTCATGAGTATGAACAAGAGGCAATTCATCAGAAATTTCACATCATATTTGTATGGAGAGCCTGTGTGATCACGTAAATAGTAGAATTGATAGAGCAAAATGACTAGTATACTCTCCTCTTTTTTTCTTTTGGTCTAGAGACTTCATGTTAGTAGGAAGCAGCAACAGGTGACACCTAAGCTAGTTTCCTCTAGAAATTTCAAGCCGACAGGTGGAGCTATCAGAATACGTCAAGGACACTCTATAAACAGTTAAACACCACACCAGAAGAAGCTAGTAGCTAGTAGCAGGTAAGGTTTTTTGTGTGAGAAGAATCAACAAACTACTCTGTATATAATACGAGTAGCAGCTAGTATCCAAGAAATTAATCGGTAGGTGAACCTAAGCAAAGAACTCTCTGGGAATCATGCATGTTGAGATGGAAATAGACTAGTACAACTCCAGTATTAGGAAGGAAGAAAGCAATGAAACAAACAGAAAGGAGTAGGGAGTAATGGAGAAGAGGAAGTTGCTAGATAGGCTAACTTACTTGCTGCGACCGCCCGTTCTTGGCAAGAGGAAGTTGCTAGGTGCAAGCAGTCATGCAGGCATCGATGGCATCGAGAAGAAGCAAAGCAAAACAAGACAGAGGCAGAGCAGAGAGAGAGAAGAAGAAAAGAACAAGGGCAGAGTAGGGTACTGGAGAGACCGAGAAAGAAAGAGGTATAGATTGTGTTGAGACAGAGTGAAAGGAAGGAGACGGGATTCGGATTCTGAAATCCAATGGCGAATGCAAAGGCAACGGGGCCGAATGGATACGGGAATCGGGGACCAGAACAAAGTGTTGTGAAACAAATATCTTGGGGATAAGTTTCTTGTGGGCCAATCTGAACCGGAGTAGAGATAATGTTTATCTCCTCGTAAGACCTCTATATATACAGGGGCAGGGTGTGACATCTAATGGTTAATGGCTGGCTTGTACTCCAGATGAGATCTATAATGAAGAGAGAGCTCCACCCTATATATGTGTTCATTGTCTACTTCTGCAATGTTCTTGAGGACAAAGGGATGGGCGCGGGTGTTGTACATCATCTCACGTCTCTATTGCTGTGGGAGGGACAGGGAACGGATCCGGTGATCCGCTAATAGGCGCGTTGGTTTACAACACGTTATCAGCAGACCGGTTTGTCGTTCCAATCTAATCGTCGTTATTAGATTATTACAGATTGATCTCCTGTTTCTCTGTATGCGCGACCTGCATGAGCCACCGTGTGCTGTTGACGGCGGCCGGCCGAGCGCGCCGCCGGATCGCTTGGCCACCGCGGTCTCTAGCGTGTGCATATGCATGCAGGAGCCGGGCAGCCGGTCACACGCCCGCCACGATCGCATGCTGGCATGCATGGGCGATCAAACCAGCAATAGCAATACATGCATGCACGTCGGCAAGCAGATTGATCTACATGCACGACACACCAACTCACCAAGGGAGCAAGGAAACAACACACATGCGCATATATATGCTTTGATTTTTGCATCTGCATATACATATGTGTGTTTAATTAGTTGATGCTCATCAGATTGTTTCATCCCTTGTTTGCATGCACGCCGGAGATGTGACTGTACGTGTGGTTGCTAGATCGGTTCAAGCTCCAGCGACACGCGCACAGGAGCGAGCGTCGCTGATTTGGATCTTGGACTCGGCCGATTGGTTCTGGTACGGTTGGTCGACGCACACACGCACATCAACCGCGCGATCTAAGACAGACGCGCAAATCACGGTAATTAGTAAGATTAGTTTATAAACTAATTTACTATAATTCATATATATACATCCGGGCATGTGCCTATTAAGGCATGAAATCTATATGTTTTATAGATTGATTATATTTTCTCGTTTTTATCATATGGATGCTTTGCTTGCAGTAGATTTGATTCTGCTCTTGATCTAGCGGTAGATTAATTTTCTGCTTTTGATCTATATGCATCTATTTTATTTGATGAAAACTGGAGAAAACTGTGTGAGAGAAATCATTAAAATCGATAGGAAACTCTGGACTGGAGACGTGCCTAATTCGGCTAGGCCGAATCAGCCGACTCGCCCTCCTACCTCGCATCTCTCTGTTTCTCTCTTTCTTTGATGATGCCACGCCGGGAACACGGTGACATAATCTCAGTCCGTTTTGCTGGACTTGGAGACGTGTCAACTGTCGTTCGCCGTCGCTGTTGGGTACGCCGTCGGCCTTACGTCGATGCCGTCGCAGGAAACCGCCGTCTCGGAGAAATCCCTAAACCCATGTCGCCGTTGCCGCCGTTGACCTCCCATCGACGCTGCCGTCGAGCCGTGGTAGGAGGATGATGGGTCATCGGCTGCCTGCTACCGGATTAACCTCCGCCGAGACGATATGGCCGGATGCAATTTGGTTGCCGTTGTTGGTGTCTCAGTTGTCGTCGTTGAGTTCGCCTCGCCACCATCATAAGGATGCGCGGGTCAACGTGGAGCTCCGTCGTGTGCCACCGAGCCGCCACCGCACCAAATTGCCACACGGGAGTGATGTCATCGCCGCCGTCCTGCCAATCGGGGTAGTGGATGGGTCGTCGATGACCTCCTCGCGTGCACCGCCCTAAATCCCTTCAAAGTCGACAGTCGACGGCCTCCAACGCTGCCGCCATGCCCGAGGGGCCGGTGCGCCGGGCGGTGGACGCCGTTGCGGACAATGAATGGGAAAGGGGAAACCCTAATTCCCCCCCTTCCCTCTCTCGGTCACTTAGGCGAACCGGTTGGGCCGGTCTGCCTCCGCCCGACCGAATAAAGCCCAACAGTAACGAGATAGCCCAAACAAATTAATAAAAATAATAAACCTGGAAATCCTCATGGGCCTAGACTTTCGGAAATTCGGCCCATTAGGCATGTTGGGCTACACTGTGCTTGCTAGCCCAAATAAGATCGTGGCATGAACGGTAATTCGGCCCGATTAATTTCGGTTTATTGACAACTTGCGTTTAAGCCCCCGGAGTGTTGGGTTTTTATGCTATAGTTCACTGTTTAATGCAATTTTACAGTTTGAACCTTGTAATTAACAAGAGATTATATTAATTTTGTTTGTGTGGTTATGTCTTGTTGCTTAGGCCTTGTATAGTTTGGTTTTGCATGTGGGTCTCCGGACTCGTAAATAACCATGTAATGGTGTTTTTTAAGCATTGCTTTGCTTTTAAAATTGATGCAATTCCAACTAAATAATCTAGAGATGGTTTTCTAGGTTATGATGCTTCCATAAATTGTGTTCATACAGTGTAGAATCCCCCCTTGGAAGCATTATGATGGGTTTATTTTCCTGCATTTATGTGTGATGGTTTTCTGTGTGGCATAAATATTGGGAATATAATGCCAAATAAGACCAAGTAAATAATAGAAAATCACCTAATGCATGGAAATTCTGGGAAATTAAATATCCATGGCTATAGATAAGACCACTCTTTACTGATACACTCCTCCATACATAAATGGTGATATCGATGTGTCTACAAGATGGAGTCACGTATACTTGTTGTACAAGATCCATGCTCTTGCCGAATTCACTCTGCATATCGTCAGTTTGCGTGTTGCGTTCTCTGAGAACCGCATGAAACGATTCGGATGATAGTGTGGGTGATTTCACGTAAAAGCCTTCAATGACTATTGTATGGCTTTGGGCATTAATGTAGATCACTCTATCCCTGTGATCACACTCAAGAATGGGATTCTGAGTCATTGAAATGTGTGGGATTAGACAATGTGTTTGGGATTCATTGTGTCTTTCCCCTAGTGGCTTAACATCTCAATCAGAGTATGGCCGGACTACGGTCGACATTTTTTTTTGCTTTCCCAATGGTTGAGAGCACGCTTTTCTGATTTGGAGATAAATGATTATACCTCAATTTTCTGGCAACGTGGAGTTGCGAGGTTCAATAATTTGAGATATTTTTCACCTGGCCCGGTGAAAGATGTAAAGTGTTTTTCATATGGTGGAATGACACTGTTCGTATGGTTGCCGTTGGTGTGCACAAATTTTCTCAATATTATTTGGAACCTGATGTCTTGCGAGGACACCGGAAAAGAGGAGGCAAATCTAGAGGGATAAGCCCAAGGGTAGATGCTGTGAATAGGCATGATTCCCACTTCACTATAGCGCCAACAGCTTGACTTGGGTGTTGACCCAGTCTCGGTCCTCGTGTGCATCTAGCGCTAAATTGCCACCTCTGGTTGTTGACCAATTGTTTGTAGTGTTTGTCTAATAAAGTTGTTTTGACAACAGGAGTTGTATGGCCAGTTTAGAGCATGTCCTAGGAGGACAATGGTCGACTATACTGTTGCCAAGCAGTTTATCTTTTGCTTAGTTTGGAACTTTGCATTAGATCGATATTTCTCAGATAAATAACGTTCTTGGTCTTTCCTGTTCTATTCTAAAGCTTATCTTCATGCTGGAATTGATAAAATGCTTTAGTTTAGAAGAACAATTAGTGTATAATCCGAGGAGTTACAACCACTCACACAATTCGACGTAACTGTATTTCAGACAAAGGTTGGCTATGCACTATTGCGTTTTATCGCGCTCTCGTAGTCGATGACTACTCCCTGGTTGTGTTGGTTGATCATCCATGGGTTGATGACCATGCTTGTCGCACACTGGCGTTTTTCGCGTGTGGACATGTGCAAGCCATGCAAAGGTTCGTCGTGTTGCATGCGTTGAGCTCGTTATACCAACGACGGTTGCACCGACACATTCCACTATTTTTGTGGATATGTCTGAATATAATGGTTTTATTGTGAATATTACCATTGTTGGAGGTATTGATTATCTCTCGATGGCTATGTCCAGGGGACATTAGCAAATGTGGTTTAATAATTCGCTCGTGGATCGTACCTAATACATGCTGCTTAACTATGACCCAATTCTAGAGTTTGTTATGAGTAATTGGGGTCAAACTTGGGCATTAAACAAGATGGACTTTAAAACAACTCTGCACCACAAAAATCTGGTTGGCAGCGCAGGCTAGTGGCCGCGCATTTTGCTATCATACTCCTTGTTGAGCACATCGGAATGCATTTTGCCACCATAGGTTGCCTTCTTAAGCATATGACATGCCATGTCTAATGCACGTCGATCCGGAATCGATTGTGAGTTTGAATGGCACTAGGTGAGCATTAATCCATGGAGAGTGCATTTGGCTAAAGTATTTGCATGTTGGTTGCATATACATTTGATAGCAATGGTGGTTTTTGCAAACCTGTATATCCTAACTAGGAGGTTGAGGATAACCCTTCGGAAGAAGGAAGAATACAGTATTCATGCCACTGTATTGGTATATGTCTAGGCTCACTGCATATAATGGACAAATCTCTCCTATTAAAGTGCGTAATATTTCCCAAATATATCACCACCGTAGCATACATTCGTGGGAGAAATTTGTGATCGAGGTGAAATTCCTTAATCCTATGCCACGATATGGGGATTTATATTATGCTATTGTAAGACATCTCGGCATTAGGGGGAGAGAAAAGCCCATTTTGAAATGCCTGGAGATTTCTTTGAGTGAACGCACTAAATGAGCTGAACTTGTATGTTTAGTTCTTACTCCTGGTTGCTTGGTGCACGGAGTTTTTGCCAACAAAATCATATGAGGAACAACTAGATAGTTGTTAAAAAGAGTAATGCTCCCAATTGTGGTAAATGTGGATAGACCCGGGAATAATATCGTATCCACATAAGACTTATGGCATTTGATCATGTTGTGCGGGGACGCCTGCTAACACGATCCGTAGTCCTTAGTCAGAGCATAAGAGTTCTCACTGGATGTGAGCATACTCCTCTGATTCTCCTGGTGGAGAATTCACCTCTGGAAGGTGATATACCTCATAATGATGTTCGTCGTGGAGACTACATTCCTAGCAATGCGCGCATATTATGGTGCTAGGAATATGGAACAACCATGGATCGATCATTTTGGGAAATGACGAAGATCTGGTTAAATGTGTAAGTAGGAATAAATGTGTCGACACTACGTCGCCTCTTGCTAATGATTCTCTTAGAGAGAACCCGGATCCGGAACAAGTCCATGGCATGAGCATACGGTGCTCAAATCGGGTCAAATGGAAATGCAATTGAGGTTGAACCGAATCGCCAATTGAAAATCGCGAACGTTGTTCGGATTTTTATGGGTCATTATTAATATAATGAGGTGGTGATGCGCGATGGTTCAAGTAGGTCCTTCATGAGACCTCTTCCACGTGAGTTGAATGTTCCACTAAACAAAGGTATTGGCAAAATGGCATGAAATTAAATATGCAGTTAAAGGATTTGGGAAATCCATGAGGAGGTCTTGAATAGACTCCATAGTGAAATTTCGGCATGCAAATCTCGTACCAATAGGTATTCCGGTAAGAGTACCATCTCCCGTTGGGAGAAAATCTCATGGACGGAATTTTCTCTGAGGGGGAGACCTCATTGATGAATTTTCCTCTGAGATACAAAATAATTAGTAAGTCTGAATACACCATATTGTATAATCCCTTGGAGGGATGATGACCCATTTATGACCCGGTAAGATTGAAATGAGGAACCTGATGAGATCACAGACGAGGTCTGTAGGCACATGTGCATCTCGTGATTATCACTGGAGTGTGTACACTCGTGAAATCCGTTCCACCTAATGGTTGGAATGGTGGTGTCCTCTAATAGCTATTGAGGTATACTTGGTGTTGTTGGCTGTGTGTTATCCCCCACAGTGCTTAAATTTTCAGACTAGCTAGTTACTCTGATTGTTACAACATGTCTTTGGAAGGCTTGTGGTTGATCTTGTGAATCCCTAATTGTTGTTGACACAGTCAGAGAAAGTTGCAATGATCAGGCCAAGTGCTTGATGGGGTCACGACCAGGAGGTGCGTGCCGTTGCTACTTATTTATCCAATAATCCTTCTGAAGGATGAAACAGATTGCGTTGCACAGCAGTATGGTATTATGGTATATGATAGTGATGGAATGCATTACTCTCTGTGTTCCCTATTCTCGTTTTAGCGGTGAAATGAGACAAGTCTTTTAAGACTAATGGTTTGAGGATCTGAAGGATTCTTGCCTACGCATACATCTGAGAGATGTTTAATGCTATGGGAACATGGTCTGTGACAAAGGTTGTCATCAGGGGGAGTATGTGCTATGTGTTGATTGTCATTTGCGAGACATTGAAATGTCTTAGAGTATGCCCAGGGCATTGACTCGATGACGATCACTTAGACCTGTTCCTAAGGTCCTATCATAATAAGATCTGTCTTTATTGACTGACACCAAATACAAGTGGGCTACCTCACAGACTCCTGAGGGGAGGTGAGATGAGCAGCAATTCAAGTTGAATGATAATCTAGAGGATTGATCACCTAGTCTCTCCCAGCTTTTAGTTCTCGGAAGCTTTTCCGGAGAATTGGGATGAGAAGACTTTGATGTTTGCTAGGTTCAGGGGGAGAACACCCTAGAACATGACCCACAATATGGACCGTGTAGTCCTTAGTGTTGTACTCTTTTTCCCTTGAGTGAGTGGAGCTGTTGTTCCTCACATAAGGTTTTTAACGAGGCAACAACGTGCAATGCATGAGCGATAACTATGTACTCTTTCTCCTAGCCTTTTTCCCACTGGGTTTTGGTAGGAGTTTTGACGAGGCATGAGTTGGTCGTGGATTAGCCTAAGGGGGAGTGTTGTGAAACAAATCTCTTGGAGATAAGTTTCTTGTGGGCTAATCCGAACCGGAGTAGAGATAAGGTCTATCTCCTCCTAAGACCCCTATCTATACAGGGGCAGGATGTGACATCTAATGGCTAATGGCTGGCTTGTACTCCAGATGAGATCTATAATGAAGAGAGAGCTCCACCCTATATATGTGTTCATTGTCTACTTCTGTAATGTTCTTGAGGGCAAAGGGATGGACGCGGGTGTTCTACATCATCTCATGCCTCTACTGCTGTGGGAGGGACAGTGAACGGATCCGGTGATCCGTTAATAGGCGTGTTGGTTTACAACACAAAGAGCCTCAATCCCGAATCCTAATCTTCCCTGCATAAATCAACAGAAGAGAGAAGCTCCTCAATGTTTCCTGCACCGGATTCTCCGCCATACAGTGGTCAAGCTTCGTCCATTATGGGCTCAAGAATTGAGCCCATAGTTCATCTGTTCTTTGCAAACGGCCCAAAGTTTATCTTCTTTCCTTCTGACTTCTTTGTGAACTGAAAGGTAGGCCATGGTTTCGTGGAAGCCCAAAGGCCTATACCAACTCTATTATTTTTGGTTACTCTACTTTAATAATGGTGTCATACACAATTATATGCACTAGACTCAATTGTCAGCTGGCTTTATATTTGTTTGTTGATTATTTACGTTGCATTCCTCCAGAACAATTCCTATGTTTCTCGCAATCATCCGGATACCCATCCTATAAAAGTCATGTACTTCAAATCCTCTATTTTGCTTACACATTTCCTATCAAATTTCTCGGCTTTTCCTATTTCTCCATTTTTAATATTCCTATATTCCGAACAAGTCCTACGAGTTAAAATGGATTTTTCCCCCTTGCTTCAGAGAGTCAATATATTGACTGTTCAGTCAGACTCAGCGGTGGAGGGCAAGTCAAAAACAGTGGGAAAAATAAGGTCGGTGGAGACATGGCGGGAATCGTAGAAAAAGAAGGCGAGACGGGTCACCTCACCTCACCAACCGCGCCAACTTTAACCACACCAACCAACCAAGCCTTCGTCAATATAATAACAGTACTGATGATGGTGAGCTTGATGGAGGAAGAGGCCATGGCCATGGAGACGATGGCGACGACGACGACCAAGAGGATGTCGGTGGCGGAGGTGTCTCTGGTGGAGGCCGTGCTGTTCGACATCGACGGCACCATGTGCGTCTCCGACCCGTTCCACCACAGGGCCTTCTCCGAGCTCCTCCAGGCCCTCGGCTACAACTCCGGCGTCCCCATCACGCCGGAGTTCGGCATGGCCCACATGGCCGGCCGGAGCAACCACCAGATCGGCAGCTTCCTCTTCCCGGACTGGCCCCAGCACCGCCTCGACGCCTTCTTCGCCGACAAGGAGGCCCTCTTCGCGCGCTACGCCGCCGAGGGCCTCCGCGAGGTCGCCGGCCTCACCGACCTCTGCCGGTGGGCCGCCGCCCGCGGCCTCAAGCGCGCCGCCGTCACCAACGCGCCGCGGGCCAACGCCGACCTCATGATCTCCATCCTCGGCCTCTCCGACTTCTTCCAGGTCATCGTCGCCGCTGCCGACGACTGCGACCTCCCCAAGCCCTCGCCGGAGCCCTACCTCCGGGCGCTCAGCCTGCTCGGCGCGTCTCCCCGTCACACGCTCGTCTTCGAGGACTCGGTGGTCGGGGTGCAGGCCGGCGTCGCCGCCGGGATGCCGGTGATCGCCGTTGCGGAGGAGGCCCGGGAGGCCAAGGTCGTCGCCGCCGGAGCGTCCCTCGTCATCAGGGACTACAAAGACCACAAGCTCTGGGCGGCATTAGACAAGCTCCAAGCAGCAGCAGCAGCTCAATCCAATGGACAACTTGGAGCATAGTAGGGGCTTAATTGGATGATTATGCAATCTCATAACCAATATGAAGTTTGTATTACAATACAAGATGATGAATGGTACAATAAGTGAAAAGAAAAAAAAAACAACTATTTTTCTCGCATATTCATACTACTACTCACTCAACCATCTATGTTTCGGTCGCACAAAATTGCCACAAGGCCTACTCAAAGGGGAACAAAAAAAAAGGGCAAAACCAAAATTGGTTGCAAGCGAAACCTGTATTTTCCCTGCAAGCAACTCAGAGGACATGGATCTCTGTAAGCATGGCGCAATATATATCAGCTTGCGGAGTATTTCTTGCACAACGCCTCGTAGTGTCTCCTTTGCTGTTGTGACCAAAGAACAAAACCAAGGTGAAACGTGTCATCAAAAGGGTTGACCATGACAATCTGATGTACATCTCCTCGCTATAGCAACAAGACATTTATGAACTATTAAGAGCTTCTAACCTGTTCAGATACTGATGGCTGCATTTTTGCTAGAGCACGTTCAAAATGAGGGAGCTCAATCGCAGATGATGAGCTCATTGACGATTCCCCATTCTCCAGGAACTCCAGCCTCTCTTCCAATGCTGCCATGGCTGCTTCATTCACCTGAAGAATGGACCACATTAGTTCCATTTTGCACGTTTCTTTAATCACATGATTAATATTCAAACAAAAAGCAACTATAATCACTCCAATATCCGGTTTAACTCACAAAATGTCCCATAGGTTCCTAGGGGAAGAAAATAATCAACTAAAACATATAAAGAACTACATTGCCCCAAATTAAAGCAGACATGATCACCCTGTACAAAATTCAAATGGAGAAACCACTCAACAAAAAGTCATAACTTACCATTGATGCTAGGTCAGCACCAGTGAGATTTTTGCATTCCTCTCTACGTGCCAGTGCACCCAAATCAACACTGGAGGAGATCGGTTTGTTCCGAGCGAGGGCTCTCAATATCGAAACCCGCTCATCAGCACCAGGTAAAGGTACATAATGTTTCTTGCCAAATCTACCAGGTCGAAGTGCTGCATCATCTATCACATCAATTCTGCACCAGAAAAGGAGCTGCAGTTTCAGCCTTATGTTCAGTGATAAATATGTAAGGAGAACCTATCAGCAGCTGACAGCACCTGTTTGTAGCTCCAATAACAAAAACACCTTTCCGTTCACCAGCACCATCAAGTTCAATAAGCAACTGTGAACAAAACAATTAGAGTAACACAGAACAAAAAGAACCTTGTTAGCAGATCAACTACCGCAAATATATATTAACTTGTAAAGTATTCAAACCTGGTTCAGGAGACGTTCAACAACCCATCCCCCCTCTTTCCCTCTTTTTGTTGTCAAAGCATCTACCTGTAACATCACATGGGTTTACACTTGAGCGTCTTAGAATTGGAAAAACGACTTCATACTCCACACATATACACTGCTTGATGTGTGTTTAACAGTCAAAATTTATCAAACATTCGGAGTCATTCAGTAACTTGTGTCCAAGTTTTCATCAATGGAACAGACTATATGGCTAGATAAACCAAAATCCTTTACCTCGTCAAAAAACAGGATGCATGGTGTATTAGTTTGTGCACGGATGAAAATTTTCCTAACTTCTGATTCACTCTCACCAACATACTTGTTCAACAGCTCTGGCCCCTAAACACACAAAGGAATATCTTAACGTTACTTTGTATAAATCTGAACGAACGTGGTCAAAATACAGAAATATAAGCATCAACTACCTTAATATGAATAAAATTTGCCCCTGCCTCATGCGCAACTGCTTTTGCTATCAGTGTTTTCCCACAACCGGGTGGTCCAAACAGCAAAAAGCCAGCTTGCATATTCAATCCAAATGTCTGGAAAATATAGACAACAAAGCGGACATGGAATAAAAAAATCAAATAAGTAAAAGTACTGCAAAAGGAGTCCTAAACTTCAAAACATATTGCAAATAAACATCATGGGTATGTCATGTGGTACTCTAAACTACTAGGCTGCATCATCGCTAAAAGAGGAACAATAGAACAGACATAAGAAATAATTGTAGAAAACGGTTTATTGACATACTAAGTATGTTCACCTTATATTCTTCAGGTTGCTTGATACATCGGATAATGTAGCGGTCAAACTCTTTCCTTAGCGAATCAAGGCCTCCAACGTCATCCCATGTGACATCAGGGATAGAAGAAAATCCTTCTCTTCTCAAAGATGGTTGAACCATCTTGGTTGCTTCCTTCAGCAAACAAAAAGCAGAAAGGTTCATTAGCATGGCTATTTAGTCCACATAAGGCACACAGTTGAAATGAGATCAGAACTAATCATGATTAAAGCATTGGATACGTGGCCAGGAAAACTATTTTAGAAGTTACACTTGATGACATTAGCAGAGGAGTTATTGGACTTGAGCTGCACATGTAACAGGTGGAAACCTCACCTCAAAATCATCCATTGTAATACTCAGGCCCTCTATCTCATTTGCATCCCAAGGTTGTCTCCACCAGTCGTGCTTGCTGTTTTCATCATGCTCCTGACAAAACTGAGCTCTTCTTCTATCAATTATTCTCTTCATTGCTAGATTCCCCGCTTTATCCACCAATGCCTTCAAGTCCGCACCAACAAAGCTTGATGTGGCCCTTGCTATCTTCAACAAGTCCAACTGACCTTCCAGTCGAAGATTCCGGGTAAGCATCATAAGTATCTTTTTCCGTGCATACTCATCTGGAACACCAAGAGAGATCTCTCGATCAAACCTTCCTGGCCTACGAAGTGCTTGGTCAACAGCGTCAGGTCTATTTGTAGCTCCAATGACAATAACATAGCCAGGTTTCTTTTCAGCTGACTCTGAACCCACATCACCGCTACCAGAGCCAATTTGTTGGTGGTATTCATCCATGCATGTCATTAACTGTGTAACTATCCGTCGTTCCATTTCCCGTTGCAGATTCTCCCTCTTGGATGCAATCGCATCTATCTCATCTATAAATACAATTGATGGAGCAGTCCTGTACGCCTTCTTAAACAGGCTTCTGATGTTTTCCTCAGAAGCCCCTGCAAGAAAACGAGGGTTTACAAGGTGTACCCTTATATGGCTACTGATAGAAGAGATCTATCTAAGAGTAGGGACGAAATATATATTAAAAAAGGTAAAAGAAAATAGGAGATAGGCTATATCTGATTTGGTATGCAGGGTAAGGACAAAGCTTGACCGATATGGTTTCAACTAAGGATCATATCTCAGTGGAGCTATGTCATCGCAGAACATATTAGCAATCAGAACCTTTAAAGCCTATGTGTTATGTTTCATTGCAAGGCAGAGTATTACTATTACCAGTATAACAATAGAACTCAGGAACCTAATTTGATAGAGGATCAATCTCATGCCACACTGACATCAAGCAGAAACTACCAGTTCTATGTTCGGCTAGACTTGCGGGCACTCCTTCCCTAATGAGAAAGAAAACTAAGTGAAGTAGATCAAACGACTAATGTAAGAAGCAGCAATAAAAACAGTGATCCTGGTCTATTTGTACATATTGAACACTAATAGCTTCAGAGTCCATTAGTTAACAAATGAAATTCCATTTATCAAGTGAGGATTGCATTATAAGTTATTAAAACGAACAACCTGAACTTGCAGACATCGACACAACAGGTTACCAAATTTGCTAGTATGTTGAGAAGTTGCGATTCAGAAAACACCACATTAGCATTTGCAAAATTTAGCATTCCTCAAGCATCCCAGCAGCAAACATGATTGGTGGTTAGTAAGTTAAACTAATTTGTTCTTGCTTGTAACACATGTTCAAAGGTTTAGCTAAGTTCAGAGTTTTCATGAAAAGAATCGGATAGCATACCAGAGACCCCGGACACAACCTCCGGCGCCGATATCTTGTAGAATGGCACGCCGGTCTCATTGGCGATGGCATGAGCGAGCGTGGTCTTGCCGCAGCCTGGTGGCCCGTGCAGCAGCAGCCCAGCCACAGGCTTAACCCCAAGCCAGCGCGGCACCTCCGGATGGCATAGGGGCACCACCACCTCCATCATTAGCTGCTCTATCACCGACTCCATCCCCCCAAGATCCGAAAACGTGGGCCCCTTGCCCCCTCTATCGCCTCCTTCGCTAGGTGGAGCGGACTCCGGCTTGGCCTCGCCGCCGGCGCCGCCATCGGAGGTGATTAATCGGCGGGGCTTCTCGGCGGCGATCTCGATTTCCAGCTGCTGGTTGCTGCCGGTGTCTCGCTTGGGAGTCTGGGAGGCGTACTGGGTGCGGAGCATGGACTTGGTGACGTCGTAGATGGGGGGAGGCGGTGGGTGCGCGGCGTCGTCGGAGAGGGAGGTGGAGGATGAGGCGGTGGCATGGGCGTCGTGGCGGGGGCGGCGGCGGCGGCGTTGGGAGGGAGTGGAGGCGTGGGAGTCGTCGGCGGAGTCGGAGTGGGAGTCGGAGGGGATGGAGTTGAGGGCGCGGCGGACGGCGGAGGTGAAGGGGTCGAGCTTGTGGCGGCGGAACTCGGGGAAGCGGGAGCGGAGGGCGATGGCGACGTCCTCGGCGGAGGAGGAGGAGAGTCCGCCGTCGGTGATGAGGCGGCGGAGCTGGGACTCGAAGTAGGGGGAGTGGGACCTGCCGGAGCCGCCGTGGCGCGCGCGCTTCCCCATCGCCGGCGGCGGCGGCAGAGGAGGAGGAGGAGGGTGCTAGCTAGGGTTTTGGGCCGAGGAGACACAGCTGGTTGCGCTTTTCTTTCTTTCTTTTTTGGAGGGAGATGGGTTAACTTTTAGTTCCGAGAATGAAATTTATCTGGGCCGGGCCCACTTGACAGCCCAAGGTTTAAGGATCCAGGCCTAGTAAGTGGAATTAAGCCCATAGTAAGTATCCGGGCCTCCGTGCTGGATCGCGATCTTCTTGGTCGCCGCCTTCCTTCCTTCCGCCGCCGCCACCACGACGACGACGACGAACTCACTGTACCCGTACGTACGTAGCAAACCAAAATGGCATGCACATTTTGTTCCTTCCCTGTTATCTTATTGCTTGGTGTAATGGTGTTCCCTCCCTGTTCAGTAATTGCAGTACTCCAATACTTCTGAGATACTTCATCCGTCCCAAAACATAAGGAATTTTAGGTGAATATGACATATTTTAGGCTATGTTCATAATTTTAGGATATATCACATCCAACTAGCTAGAATAACAGTGTTTTGCCACAATTGGTCGATGACCACAAGCACAATAGGTTGAAGGGAAAAGGTGAGAGATGAAAAAACCACTTCTTTTGCACATCTAGCTCAAGCATAATGGTACAGTATTTCAGCACATATGTTCCTTCATGTGTACAGTCCTGTGAGTCTACTAATACTCTACTAGTACACCAATAGCTATTACAGCTTGGATTAATTGTACGTTGCCTTGTCAGATTTCTGATTAGTACATATATACTCCATCATCACGAATGCATAAACACTCAAGTTAAGTTAATTGCAACACATTTGCAGATAGCATGCAGCCTAGCTAAGAGGAATCAATATCAATCACACTTTCTCTTGCTGCTGTTCTACGTCTTGCACTGGCTTCTCCGGCGAAGCAATGGCATCTTTGCTGACGGCGGCGGTCTCCTCCCTTTTGCCCCACAGAACAAGGTAGAGCCCCACAATCACCAGGACTGACCCTAACACACTGCAAAAAATTAACTATTCTTTTAGTGCCATACCAACAATCAGTAACTTATGGAATCATGAATGAATCAATCAATTCGTTTGTGCTAGAAATTAATTAAGAATTAGTACCTGCCAAGATAGAGCGGCTCGTGGAGGATGAAGAGATCGATGCCGGCCACGAAGATCTGGGAGAGAGGGCTGAAGGCAGCGGTGAAAACAGGGCCTCTCTTCTCCACACAATATGTGAGCATCAGGTACCCAAAGCCAGACGCCACTACACCCTGCAAATTTCACAGAACAAATGCAATGCCCACATTTTGTTATTCGATATGTCGCAAATTCTTGTTACATCAGTGCTAGAAGAGCACCATACCACTTTTTGACTGAAATAGGAGCAACAGAACTTCAGAAAATGAGGTGCTAGTTTTTGTTACTAGTGCAAATAAAAATTATTTGCATAGAACAAAAAGATAAAATTATATACTCAAAATAAACTATAATATATTGGAAATGGTGATTTTGGGCTTAATAATTCTTTTTTATCTAATGGTCTATATACATATTATGCCTACTTGATTGCATATTGTTTGCCAAAAACTTTGGGGATACAATTCCACCCCTATGTCCCATTGTACAATTCCATCATGCTCATGGTTGGGAGGTATCAAAATTTACACTTAAAAAATCTGATACTTCTAAAGGACCATAGGACATGTTTCAGTAAAGATCTTTTAAGCTGCACGCTAGAAACCAATAGGCTTATCAATTTAATATATTGTAAGTTCTTTATCCTGGAATAATCTCTTTTTCGCCGGGCTAAATTTTCTTTTTTCACCTGGCTATCCTGGAATAATCTCTCCAAATATGTTAGATTTATACCTTTATGTAGGGATTAAAAATCTATAGAAGGGGAAGAATCCTAGTAAAAAGGGAACAATTTGACCCCCTGTGCAAACGGTTCAAGTCATAAAGACAGGTTTGAGTGGTAACCAATCCCTTTCTATTGAAACTTGAAAGTTAGACCTTTTTCTTTTCAAATAAGGCTTTGTAGAAGGATCTCTGTACATTGAAAAAGAAGAGTTGAAAACTGTTTATAATGATCTGGCCTTGTTCTTTTCAGTTACTTCATGGATTATTATGGCGGATTATTTGCTCCACATCTCTATTTTTTTAAAAAAAAAACTTTCTTCTACTACATTGCTTAGGCCACTTGTTCGAAGCTATTTATTAAGTTTATTTCTAAAAATATTTAATTTATTCCTACAATTAAGTAGATAATCTGTTGAATAATTTGTTTCAAATCGGGGCTAATGTTATCCTAAAGGTCTGGTCCATGATGCATGGTGTGGAGGATGGATCCATCCATCCCATATAATATACTGGTCCAATGAACACTATCTTCTCCCCTCTCTTTCTTTCCTTTTCATTTCTTTTTTTACAAAAGGTATCTTTTGTAGATAAGAAACTATCCACCGGAGAAGATTATGGGTTCTTTGAGTGTGGATGTAGTTAATTATGTACACCTAACTAGATTTTGTTTAAAAGAATAATGTAGAGAATTTTATAATACGTGCACGAATGATTATTTGTGTAACATACAGAAAGATATGAAAGTTGTTGATTTATTTCTCTTTATATTATAGTACATATGTTTCATGTGTGCAAATATTTTAGCATGCTCTATGTTTTGTCTAGAGTTCTTTTAGAAGAGTGCACATGCAAATTAAGTATGCAGCTTCAAACAAAAAAAGAAGAAGAAAAGTAGGCGGGGCTAGTTCTATTTTCAGTTGGTACTTTTCGACTATGCCAAACAAAATGGACAAAAAGTATATAAAAGAAATGCTGCAAAATATGGTTGGGGAGCTCTGGAAGAGATCTTACACAATATACAACTGTGGCTATCTCTATTTTCCCCTTGAGAGCCCAGATTGAGATGCTGCTCCTTTGTATGGACAAGGCAAGTGCTCCTGCTTGCAAGCAGCTGAACAATGACATGAATGCAGTAGCAGAGTAGATTGCTGGGTACTTCCTGGTGAATTTCCTCTGCAGCATCAGCCACAATGCGAACCCAACTACGTTCGCGAGCAACGAGACGGAACCGAGCACCCAATGGGCCGTGTCATGTTCTTCAGCTTGGCTGTGGCTACTGCTGGATGCTGGACTACTGCTAGATGATGGTGTATGGGTCAGTGCTGAGCCCTTGTAGAAGGTGAGCATCATTGCTCCACTGAGAGAAACCAATGTTCCTGAGATCTTGGCACTCCCTGATCTGCTCTTTACATTAAGTGCTTCAAACCTATAAAGAATTGGAACTAGTTTGTGAGAAGTACTTCACTGCTTTTGTGTTTCACTGAAAAAAAAATCCAAAAGCATGTGAGGAGTTGAAGGTGCCTTAGGACCCAATGCAATTTTCTTTCTGCTGGGCAACAAAGCTGGAGTTTCCTTTTAGGTGCTTTGGGGCCTTAGTTGATTTTAAGGTGTTGTAGTACAACTTCAAATGAAAAGCTATTAACATATGCTACCTCTGTTTTTTTTTAAAAAAAATGACACAGTTGACCTTTTGAATTCATTTTTATCTAGAAGTATTTGCACAAGCATATTACGCACGCTTAAAGTATTTTTTATGAGAGATTTAGTGGTAGTCCTTTTACTTTACTTGAATAAATATTACTGGTCAAAGTTTGTGAAAAAAAAAGTCAATTGCGCCGTATCTTAAAAACCAGAGGGAGTAGTAGATAGTAGCAAATGTAACTGCTTGCCTGATATTGAGCTACTTAAAGAGAGACATATATAGAGGACAAAGTGCTCTTCAGTGAAAAGAGTTCCAGATTTCTCAAAGAAATTGTAGTTACCTGAAAACGAGTGAAATCAAGAAAGTAACCACCGGAAGCAAATTGCCGAAAGTTGCAGCAAATGTTGCTGTTGTAAACTCCAGCCCTACAAACAGTGTATACTGAAGAAGCACCGGCCTGATGAATGCAAGTCAAAGAAACAATTGATCCAGGGGTATCAATGAATGGTGAAATCCAACTCTCTCTACATATAATATAGTATTTGTCAAATGATTACCCAAGCATTCCGCTTAAGAACATGTAGACAAAGATTTCAGTTGTGAACTTTGGTCTTGTCTTCCTGAAAAATCAGTGATCAGCAACAGTAAAATACAAGCGACTAGTAGTTGGCAGTACTTTATTATTATAGTTATACTTTTGCTTTGGTACCTTTCCTTGAAGTAGGCTATGGGGCCAAGGAATACAGTAGCCACCATTTGCCGGAAAGTAATGAGGACCAGGCGGTTCATCCCCTGGTTGAGTGCTTGCTTGATCAAGGCTGTCATGATGGCTATCACAACATTGGTGGCGACCATTGACACCGTCGGCATCCATTGCTCCATGCATCCTGCCCTCCACATTTCAGGAAAACCAGAGGCCTTTCCTTTGCTCTCAACTAAAGTTTGATCCGGTGGCCTAGTTTGAGCAATTTGTTTTTGGTAATGTCATGGTTTTATAGGGAGCCATATGCCATGCATGGTGATGGTGCTCATGGCATCTGCAAGGATGATTTCGATTTCGTTTCGTTTTCGCAACACGTGACGAAGAGTAAACACAAGAGTTGGAGTTGAGGGGGGTGGGCAAGTATTAGCTGATGACATCGGAATATCTTCAGTATGGAAGATTTGCATTGAGAAAACGGCGCAACCAACCAATTGGAATAACAGTATTCTCATAGTGCAATGGAACAATTTAAAGCTTTCAGTTTTGGCAACCAAGTAGTATATAATTGTGATCATGCATACATTGCTTCTACTGTAGAGCATAGGATGCTGTTTCAGCACTAAAACATTAGCTTGAGCCTGTTTAGCAACTACTAAGAACAAGTAGAAAACATCTTTCCATGAGAAAGTCCTAAAGATCCAATGCCCATTGTCTCTGCTTTGATGAGCAATTGGTCACTTTAAGTCTAAATCAAATCACAAAGCATTGATTCGCCGCCCTCACAGGAGCTCTCGGTACGAAAATCGTGCATTCAAAGAACATTTCTTTTCCTTTCATGTTCAATGTGACACATAATAATGATTTGACATGCTCAAATGCAAGCAACTTGTGCCGCCGTTATCTAACAACCTCAGGTTTTGGGTTAAATCTTGAGCATGTCCTTAAACAACGCGTTTCCATTTGACATTTAGTTTCACTAGCATATAGTAATTAATACTAGTCATTCCAATGTGTTGCGCTTACATGTTAAAACCTTTTGAGCGAAGCGAGGATGAAGGCCTAAAAGAGGTTCTACACAAGTACACATGCATAACCTGCCCCAGAAGTCAGGGTTAAGCATCAAGTGAATTTTGAGCTGCAGGGAGCAGGGTGATTTACAGTGTTCCATAATTAAACATAACTGCGGTGATTGGGAGAATACATCATGTTTCCCAGTAAAAGAAACTACAATACCAACACTACTGGTAGTAGGAGGATGAACTATTTTTCATGTTCTACAATCCCAAACTAGTACAATACCAACTTAGTTTGGTCCTAATGGTTTGACTTGCTTCTCCTTGTCCTCTTCCTCTTCTTTGGCTTCTTTGGCAGATGCTGCTGCAGATGTATCCCTGTTCTTTCCCCACAGAAGAATATATAGGCCCAGAATCATCAATATGGATCCAACAACACTGCAAGGGCAAAAACAAAGTACATGTGATGCCATTTGGGCCGCAAGTCTAAAAAAAATGTGATGCCATCTGGACCAGCCATTTGAGAATCTGCTAGTCCAAAAACTCATAGCTTGAATGTGATGTATCTATGTACCATTTCACTCTTTTTAATAAGACTAGAATTTAGTTTAGAAAATAATAAGACTAGCTAGAATAAAATTGTGCTATATATCCAATGTCTGTTACTAAAGATTCTGCAGTTCTTCATCAGGAAGAGGAATAAATTAAGAAAGAAACATGAGACTCCATGCCTTGATTTAAGAACTGAAGACAAGATTACCTTCCAAGGTAGAGGTTCTCATGTAGATAGAAGAAATCAATTATGGCAACCATGATCTGGATGATGGGAATAAAGGCTGAAGTGAACACTGGACCTCTCTTTTCGACACACCATGTCATCAGTACGTAGCCCACTCCAGACCCCATAATTCCCTGTGGCAGTATAAACATTGATGTCATTCAGCCAGTTGTTTAAAAGAAGTGTTTATAAGCTCCCTTGAAGTTTTTAATGAAGTTAAACAGGTTTAGTGGCTGAAGGATTCTTCCTACTTTTGCCAAAAAAATGGTTGGTTTACTCCATGTATAACAAGTTTGGGTCGATTCTCTACCAAATTACTCCCTTTGTTCAAAAAATATTTGACGTTTAGGACAAGATTCGGTCAAACTTATCAAATTCCAACAATCAATTTTATATTATAATAAGTTTCTGATATTGTAGTAACTTTCGAGGCAAATCTACATATGTTAATTCTTTTATTTTTAAACTAAGCATATCAGAAATAATTGATGGTCAGAATTCAAAATTTTGGTTGAATCTCATAATTATCTGAGAAGCAACTTTGCAATTTATGAAAGAAAATGCTGCCACAGCTTTGCTAAATAGGGAAAATATATGCTATGTTTCAACATGAATATACGAAGATATAGTGAGAAGAGAAGGGAACTAATCTAGGGTCAGTTGGTGAGAGGTGTGGTTTTACTCTCCCATCACCCAGATTTGAATCCTCTTGGACTAAAAAACATTGACCTATTCCTTACTAAAAACAAGGGCTAAGTGTCCTCCCACCTTTTCATATAGACAAGAAAAACAAGGTAATCTTACTGTATATAGTACTGCAACAATCTCCACTGTCCTTGTCAGAACCCACACTGATGCTCGCCTTTGTATCGCTGCCGTCAGGGCCCCACCTTGGAGGGAGCTGATTAAGAACATGTATGCAGTACTGGAGTACAGTGCTGGGTACTTCTTGGTAAGCTTGGTCTGCAGCAGAAGCCAAAAGGAGAAGCAAAGGCAGTTTGCCAGTAATGCTACAGTACCGAGTGTCCAGCTCTTTTTGCTGGGTTCTTCTATTTCTGCATGGTGATGATCTGAGCTCACTGAAGACACAACTTGGTGTGTCAAGGCCACACCCTTGTAGAGGGTGAGGAGCATGACACCGGCGAATGACATGAGTGTTCCGATGATCTTTGCAGCTCCTGCCTTGTTCTTCATGTTCAGTGACTCCACCCTGAGTACATGAACAGTACCCAATGATTCAGACAAAAAAAAAAAGAAACAAAGCGCAGACAAGTACTAGGCTTGAAAAATGTAACACCTTAGGAGTGCAGCAATGAGGAAGGTGATCACAGGGGACATGTTGGTGAAAGTTATGGCGAATGTTGCGGTCGTGTACTGCAACCCATAGAAGAATGTGTACTGAGATAGCGCGGCACTAAAAGCAGAGAGGGGGAAAAAATGCAATCAATGGATTAGATAGATATAGTTTTATAAAATTCTGACCTCAATGTGATATCAACAAGTGGTTTTTAGATTGTACCCAAGTGCTGCACTGAAGAAGAGGTACACAAGGATCTCCAGTGTGAGCTTAGGTCTTTTACCCCTGAAAAAGAGGGTGGCAAAACCAACAGTAGTATCACATCATAGCTCAAGTTGTGAACTCTGATCACCATTTGCTGGAAGTTGCATTTAGGCAATGTACCGTTCTTTGAAATAGGCAATCGGAGCAAGGAAGATCGTGGCGACTAGTTGTCGCAGCGTGATGAGTACAAGACGGTCAAGCCCCTCCGCGAGCGCCTTCTTGAGCAAGGCTGTTGTCACAGCAGATATGAGGTCAAAGAACAGCATTGCGATCACCGGCTTCCACTCATCGACTTGTGACATCTTCCACATTATGGTGTTTCAGATGATCAGTACCTCTTCCACCTATATCGCCGCAGCATTGTTCTTGTAATGGACTATTTATAGACATTTTACTTGATGGCACTTTTTTTTCTTTTTCTTAAAAAAAAAGAGGTGTGACAGATACAGGATATACACACTGACTGTTTTAGCCCCCACCTCCAAAACATACACAAAAAAAAGGGTACTGCACTATATCATGCATGATCACACATTTATTCAACAGTCATTATCTAAAAGGCCATTTATTCAATGGGACATTCAGAAGCAAGTCGGCAATGCAAAATGTGACAGTATTTTTTTTTGTTTGCAAACAAGATAATCATATACAATATTTCCAGTATATTTTGACCACTTCTGCGAATGTTTCTTTTGTCACGAAGCTGATGGTGGAGATCATGGAAGGTAATGGAGAAATATCAGGCACCTTTTTTTTAAAGATCTGAAATATCAAGCTCTCAGCGCTCTTAAATTAGGGATTGCAAGTACTCAGCTCTCATAAGTGGAGTTTAGAGAGGCATCAATAAAAAAGATACCATCGTTTGAACAGTTCGGTTAGCGTGGCAATGTCTTTGTTTGGGCCAGAAATTTGACTTGATTCGTATCATGGTGCATCTCGCAGTGCGATTCAATAGCGAAAAAAGGCGGCACCAATCAAATCCAAAGAATGAAAAGCAGCTCGGATAGGGCCGGAGGCAGGCAGTGGAGTGCTCACCTAGTGTGAAAGCTGTCTGTCTGATAATTTGATCCACCACATCTGATCAGTGATCATCTCACTTGTAGTTGTTGTATGTACTAACTCCTCTTCACGTTGCATTGGTAGTGCATCGTCATCAGTATCATCCTGCTAGTGAAGATGAGCATGGGCACAAACCCAACACACATCATGCTTGAACAATGTTACTATCTTCCTTATCAAAAAGAGTAAAAGAAATTGTTGAAAAATCCTCCAGTCTGATCTGATATCGCGTCATACTCGTACCATAAAGATGAAACCGAGAGACGAGCAGCTTCCAATTGAAAAGAGGAATGCGAAAGCGCGGTGGTATATCCTTTGAGCCATTGTTTTTTCAGATCAACAAGTGACCAAATCTTCTTCTCCGACTACCGCTAGTAGATTCCAATTGCTATGATATGTTGGTAAAACAAAAATGTTCGTTGAAATATCAGACATCGGCAGTTACAACCGGTAACCACTTGCTTTGATCTACTGCATGAACTGATTCAGGCATTATTATAACTGCCCAAATGCATGCTCTGAAGATTTTTCAATCTTCTCACCCACTTTAATTTGTAGCCATTTTCTTTAGCTCTTCCATAAACATTATCTGATCATAAAGTTACAGGTAAAATGAGACATTAGTGTGACAATTCCAGTGATGAGAAGAGAGAGAGAGAGAGAGACAGCAAACAAAAGCACATGGAGGGAAAGGAAAGGGAGAAAGAAAAAAAGGAAAATAAATAAAGGTAGCAGACATTGGCTTTCTCGGTATGGGGTATGGGGGCATGGCTTTAATTTTGCAGCAAAAGTGTCTTTTTTGCATATATGCATTGTCACCACATCAATGGCTTTTGTTTTTGCTGTCTGTCCGACAAAATGAGGATGCAATGCAAGCTCATATTATCGATCGGAGCTCCTTAAGAACAAAAGAGACTTTCTAAACGAGATGATTAGAAAGATTATATTAACATTAGAATCAGTCACACTCACACATTAAGGAGAGAGAGAGCTTTCCTTTTA